ATTTTTTTCCAAAACCTTAGAAAGGAGGCCAACCTAAAGCCGACTTGTCCCTTTGAACATTTGTCAAAGATTTGTAACTCTGAAAGCATTAAAAGAGCTCTTGATTCCTTTGATATTTTTTGAACTCACATTTACAATTTGATTCAATTGCGAACAATACTTTACATTTCTCTCTCCTGAAACAAGAAAAAGGAGAAAAACGTTTTCAAACAGAACGATCTCAGATATGAAATGTCTGTAAAGCCCAAGCTCGAGAAGCAAATGGGGCACGATCGATTCCATGGACCAGATTGGCAGGCAAAGCACGAGACTCCATCCAAGAAATAACACATAATTTATTCATGTTGCATCTTAGACATACTTAGGGGCATTACATTCATCATTTTAGCATACATAATTTTGTAGCTGTCAGAGTCAAGCTTCGACTTCAGGATGAAGGTTACTCGACTTGCAAGCACCTTTAAAGGACGAGGGTGTAACTCAACAGCAAGAAGCTATACCTCAAGCGACTTTACATAACTACAGATCTCAGATGGGTTCGAGAACCAATTCAGATCAAATCTAGTTCGGTTCAAAATCACCAGGAGCAACATGTTTTCAGTTAACACTTTCAAGCCAGATTTCAATTCCACGACGGAAGATATCCGGCTGTCAGAATTTACCAGTAGGTTTTCCCAGACCAGCTTAGGGGAACCACCGGAAGAATCATGACCGTTTTTCGACCCGTAAAGGAAAGTCATTTTTAAACAAACTATTTGCAGCTTAGCTCAAGGCCAGAAGGGCTATCTGCCACCAAGACCTTCGAGTTCGACTACGCTCAGCTCCAAGGCACATCATTTGCAGAATAGCTTAAGTCGAGAAGGGCTATCTGCCAAAGACCCCCGAGTTCGATTACACTCAGCTTCGAGGGCACATCATTTACAGCATAACTCAAGGCTAGAAGGGTTATCTGTCACCAAAGACCTTTGAGTTCGACTACGCTCAAAGGCATATCATTTGCAGAATAGCTTAAGTCGAGAAGGGCTATCTGCCAAAGACCCTCGAGTTCGATTACGTTCAGCTTTGAAGGCACATCATTTTGCAGTATAACTTAAGTCAAGAAGGGTTATCTGCCAACTAAAGACCCTTAAGTTCGATTACACTCAGCTTCAAGGGCATATCATTTACAGCATAACTCAAGGCTAGAAGGGTTATCTGTCACCAAAGACCTTTGAGTTCGACTACGCTCAGCTCCAAGGCACATCATTTTGCAGTATAACTTAAGTCAAGAAGGGTTATCTGCCAACTAAAGACCCTTAAGTTCGATTACACTCAGCTTCAAGGGCATATCATTTACAGCATAACTCAAGGCTAGAAGGGTTATCTGTCACCAAAGACCTTTGAGTTCGACTACGCTCAGCTCCAAGGCACATCATTTGCAGAATAGCTTAAGTCCAGAAGGGCTATCTGCCCACCAAGACCTTCGAGTTCGACTACACTCAGCTCCAAGGCACATCATTTGCAGTATAGGTTAAGTCGAGAATAGCTATCTGCCAAAGACCCCCAAGTTTGATTACATTCAGCTTCGAGGGCACATCATTTGCAGCATAGCTTAAGTCGAGAAGGGCTATCTGCTAAAGACCTTCGAGTTCGATTATATTCAACTTAGAGGCAAATCAAGCTTACAGAATAGCCCAAGGCAAGAAGGGCTATTTGTCAATAAAACTGTCGAGTTCGATTCCAATCAGCTCGATGACACCTCAATCACACTACTGTTTGGCTGCAATCAAGGTTTTCATATCCAGAAGAAGACTTGGGTTAGCCGTGCCTTAGTGACAATAAACCGTTTTTCCGGCAGTATAGCTTAAGACGAGAAAAGCTATTTGTCAACGAAGACCTTCGGAGTTCGATTTTATTCAGCTCGAGGGCCTATCAACCACAGGGTGGAGTCAAGAAACTACTTTCAAGTCGAATTTTCCAACCCAGATCTTTAAACCGAGGAAAAGACCGAAGCAGACTACAGCGAGAAGCCACATCCCGATTCAAATCCCGAACTGCGGCTTCAATTCTATATCATTTCGAGATGGACTCGACTTCGCGACGGAGGAGCCATCCGCAACCCAATTCGACAGGGAGTTATTTTTCAACTCCACAGAACGAAAATTTGTGTCTTTTTATCTTTGTCCTATTTTTCGTTCCACGAAAAAGGACAAAGAGGGGCAGCTGTAGACACTAATTTTCGTCGACATATTTTTTCCCCCTTTATATGTACCTACATATTTATATATATACATATTTTGAAACTACGTATATAATATATAGTTTTTAATAGTTTTTAAAATTATATAATATATAGTTTTAAAAAAAACATTTTAGAAAATATATATAATATATAATTTTTAAAATCATTTGAAAAACTTATATATATATAGTTTTTGAAAACATTTTTGAAAACATATATATTATAGTTTTGAAAACATTTTGAAAACATTTATATTATATAGTTTTTAAAACGTTTTGGGAAAATTTATATAATCTTTTTTGAAAACATGTTGGAAAACATTCGTATATTATATAGTTTTAAAAAAAAAAAACATTTTGAAAATTTATATATTGTATGTTTTTGAAAATATTTATGTATATATATATTATTATTATTATTTATTATTATTATTATTTTTCATTTTTTTTTTAACTTATTTTGGTTTTGTTTCAGGTCCAAAACGGGGTCCAAATAAGTCAGAACGAGCCTGAACCAGCCCAGCACAGGTTTGTGGTCTGAGAACCCTAGGCACGCATGTCAACACGCGCCGCACGGGAGTTCAAGGGTCATGAGCGAAACGGCCGGCCGTTATCCCGGGACTGACCCATCCCGGGATGGTCGGTCAACCACGAACCGAGTACTCCACAATATCCGGGGTTCTCAACGGCCGGCGGGGGTTATAAAAACCCACGGCCAAGTCACTGCCAAAGAGAGGAACATCCACTGAAAACCCAAGAATCGGGCACAGCACACCGAGAGAACAAAGAAACCAAGACCAGAAACCATCATCGTGTACCACACAGTCAAAACACATCAACACAACAAAAACATAGAACATCACAACATCAACACAGCATCAACAGTACTAAAGTACACGAAAACAAAGCCGAAATAACATCACTGAAGCCAAACCCCAAACACAAGTAAAGGAATACATAAAAAGGCCAAAGCCAAGAGAAACCGAGAGCGGGCACGGCGAGAACAGAAGCGGAAAGGTCGCCGGAAAGGTAAAAGGTCGAGACTTTTTGTTTAGATCTACTCCGGTAGGTGGGGTTTTTGGGGATTTTAGGCTTGGTTTCGTGTTTACGGGGTTAAGGGGAACATCTTGCTAAGGTTTGGTTTTGTTTCCGGCGGCCGGGGCGGCGGCGGTGCGGCTGAGTGGGCCACCAGACGGTGGCCGGATATCGCCCGAGGAAGGGCTGTTTGAGAGAGATATCTCTCAGTTGAGAGAAGAAATCTGGAAAATGGAGAGAAATGATTCAAAATAGGCCGGTTTTGGTATTTATATACCAAGGACCATCCTGCAAATACAAGATTCTTAAATCCCTTCCGTGGTCCCTGATACTTTGAGTCGCAATTCATTTTGGTCACTACCTGTAAATTTGCCTTCGAATTTCCAATTGAATCAATTTGGTCCATGTTTATATTTTTTATATTTCGTGAATTGGCACCTAACTTTTTCTTTTCTCTTTTGCAGTTCATTTTTAATACCAATCTAGCCCATTAATTTCAATTTGTCTCAATTTGATCCTCTAAGTCGATACTTTATTTTATTCTTTTTTTATGTTTTTTGATTTATCTAACATTTGTCTATTATTATATTTTCTAACATTTTTGACTTTTTTTAGAAGAACTCCAACCAATCAAAGGTAAGTAATGTGAATCGAGTTTTTAAATTTAAATTTAAATTTTAAATTTTCGCAACTAAGACAACCGACAAATTAATTGGTACCGAAAGGGCGGTTCAAGGGTGCTAACCCTTCCTTGACCGTAATCGACTCCCGAACCCGACACGCTTCTGGTACAACGCAGATCAGGTAAGATGGTGTCCGACCCACCTAAATTCATTTTAAAATGGTCGGTGGCGACTCCCAACCCAATCACTCAAGTCGAAGCCCAATTCCGGGGCCCAACCGAAAGACGGTTACGACAGGTCTCTTATGGTGTTTATTTAGTCGAATTGGTTTCTCTTCATTGCATGATTTGTGAATACATGAAGCGTCTCCATATACACCTTGCAGGCTTGTCCTGCAAGTGTAATTTGTGATATGTGACATGAATTTAAAATTTGAGAATCTTATACTTTGAAAAATTTATTAACCTAAAGAAACGCTTTTAAAAATTTATTAACCTAAAAAAACACGTGTGAAGAAAAATCGATGAAGAAAACTTAATTTCATATGTTTAATTTTTTTATTTTGTTAAAAACAATCATAATATAATAATTTTTTATACTTTACAATTTCATTTTATTATAAAATCTTTTTACGAACTTTATTTTAAAAAATAATACAGACCTCTACATTTTTAAAAGATAATCACACGCGACAGCCTTAATATACGACTAAAAAAAATACTACCGATTTTGTTATTATTTAAATAATAAAACTAGTAAAAAATTACCGGTCTGGCATCTTGTTTGTACGTATATTATCTCCATACACGTTTACTGCTCATGACTAACTCAGCTTCGTGTTTTGCTTACCCTAGTCTAAATACAAATATTCTTTGCCCTTGTCATTGTAAGCCATTATTTATTTACGGTCAAATTATAGATTTGATCCCTTATATTTTGAGATATTTCTGGGCGTTTGTTGGTTAAATGAGCAAGTAAAAATCAGTAAATAAAGGACACAAATGTAATGCTATCTTAGCTTTTTCCTCTTGCATTTCAATTATTAATACAGTCGTCTTATCTTCAGTAAAAGCAAAAGGGAACTATTTGTATTAATAATTGAAATGCAAGAGGAAAAAGATTACATTGTTTTCCCACTTATTCAAAGTGCAAGCACCTCCCCCCTAACAAAAAGCTAAAACAACTGTATTTTTTTAGTATTGATGGATTTGAAGCCAAGCTTGGATAATTTAAGGGGCCAAAAGAACAGCAAGCAAAGGCTGACCTGGACATGCATTTGTGGATTAGCCACCCTACAACAATGAACAATGATTATACACTCCGATTTACAACAGTTAACACTGCCACCATAACTGCACCAGGTTCCAGCAAAGAAATAAGACCAGTTAATCATGAGCCTCAGCGCAACTACGTACCCTTTTTGGAGGAAATACCACCTTCATCAAGCTGTAGGGTCTTGGGATTAAGAGGAATAGCACCAACGGTTAGAACACCGGGTGATTCAGTAAATCCACTGACTTTTAATGTCATTGATCCTACGTTTACCACCTCAACAGCATCAGTTTTTGTAGCAGCATCCGCAGAGAATTTAGACTCATCCTGCTTTGGATTTATGCAGAGAGAGCTAGTCTTCAAATTAGATGCATCATCTTTAGCTTCATTCATTGATCTTGCGTTTGATGTATCAAAATCCGAAGAAACATGCTGACCAGATGAAGCGACAACAGTCCTCAACAATCCCAGATCACTTTTCTTGGTACTTCTCTTATTTTCATTCAGAAGTAGCTCACCATGGTTTATCTTACTGGCAGGATCAAATGCACTCGCAGGTGCTAGGACCGGGCTCTCCGAACTTTTAAATAGCTGCATGGCTCTCTCTTCCTGCATGATTCTCTGACGATTTTCATAGTACATAAAGTCGTCAAGTAGAGATGTCTTCATAACGTGATTTTTGAATATTTTCAGCATCTCCATACCTTGTTTGTACATTATCTGCATTTGACATAACATTTTATAAGAAACAAAACAACATGAAAATCTCATAAAAAGATCATAATCGTGGAGTAAACAATTCAAAATTCACAAGCCCAGATAGAAATGTTAAGTCATAAGAGAAAAGAAGTTTATAAGAGAATAGTAAACCGAGTTTAATATTTTATTGTTTGCCTTTAATTAGAGAAAGGTAAAGCTCTGAACATACCTCTTGTGTATCCCTGCTATTAGTCACTGGCTTGTTTTCATTGTTTTCTAATATGATGCGTCTAAAATGGCTGTTTGGAGCATCTTTAACGATGTGCCATGTGACAGGGAAGCTTCCACTCCACTTATCGTTCTGCCAAAAGTCCATGTCCTTTTGGAAGTCAACCGGACCAATCATCTCCGCTACGCCACAGAATTGTCCAGTGGCATTAACCTGTGTGGAAGAAGGACCATGTTGTAGTTAATGAATATCAAAGAGACCACCTACTCACCAAACAGGTACAGAACTCACAGAAAAGAAGAGGAAGATGGGGCAGCTTCTAGATTTCCCTGCAGTTATTTTCTGTGCATCTTCAAAAGCACTCTCAAGTTTCTTGTTCCCATGGGGTGTAGAAGACCAAACATTGTATTTAATACTCTTGTGTACATCATCCTCACTATATGATTTTATTACAAAAAATTTTGCATCAACACAGTCAACTGGAAAATTATCCTTGTTATATCGGTCAGTATAAATAATGATGTTTCCTTCAGCATCATTATTTCCCGCTTTACTTGTGTATGCTTTAACCACGAGTTGGTTTTTAGATCTGTTGGTTCTAGGACCTCGATTCTGCTCAGCCCATGTATCCGGGAAGCCATGTGCATCATTGAAAACCCTTCCAACATGGATCTTGGGTTGAAGTTTATCCAGAGCACCAAATCCAGGTGCACTTGCTCCATAGGCAGAAATGGCATTACTAATTGGAAGATCTTCTTTTAAATGATTATGGTGAGATTGGAGTTTTCCACCAGGAATGTTGCCAATGGGCTGAAAGGAACACGAAGCAACTCCAACCTACAATGATAATCGGTAATAAGAACCTTCAAATGGGGCACCCAGTGAACGGCTATAGCACGCCCATCAAAATTAAAGAAATACCAATTCAATATAACCGTAAACCAGAAACTAAGCATTGCACCTGATGAGCCTGTGCGGAAGCTGACTCAAAACCACCAGGAATTCTTCCCTGGATTGCATAATCCTTACTTTGTCCATCTGTAACCCTGCTCAAGGAATCAGCCTGATTAGGAGTAGATTCTCGGGAAAGGGTTGCAGATGCTGAACCAAGGATATGTTTAGCTCCTCTTCCGTCGGGTCTAGTACCGATTGATGCATGAGTATCTAACAAAAAGTCTGTTGAACTATTTGGAATGTTATCTGGTTGGATGAAAACAGGAACATAACCGGTTGGAGATACAGGGTTTTGATAAGGGGTGATAGTGTAATATTGTTGCGCTCCTACGAGTGGGCTGTCACCAGCCACAGCACCAGGTATGTAAGGATTGTATGGGTTGTGTGAAGACTGTGCATATCCATAGCTTGGTGTGTAATATACATAAGGAAAAGTTTCAGTTTGGGAACCCTGAAGAAGAGAAAGTAGGCCTTGAGCAAATTTTGAAACAAAAAATAGTAAGAAACCACTTATCTCGGTGCAGATCTAAGTCTGACAACAAAAATGTATCAATCCCAGAGTTCAAAAGATTAGTTTACCCACCGAATATTGGACATCTGGACCATCTGCAACTAAAATATTCTGGTGGTCCTCCCATTCAACGGGTGATTCAAAACCTATCCGATTGCAATCAACAGTGTACTTGAGATTCTATAACTAATATTATCGCCATGTAGAATACAATCGAAGCATTTAAATTACCTGTACAATAATATACATAGTTGGTGGCTGTAGGGTAGTACATTCCCTCATCAATAACAAACTCAGATGCTCCCTCCTGGTACATAGCTGCTACTAGTTCAAGAAATGGACTTGACTTGTGGGTTAAGCAGAGAATTCTGAATCTGAAATCAAATACACCACAAATGTCATCGAAAATACAATTACATCCACACGAGAAAGTGAAAATGGACAAGCATATTGGTATGTAACAAATCTCAAGCAAAAAGGCTTTTCCCTTCCCATAATTACACGGGAGAGGAGAAAAACAACTCATAGTAAAGCCAGTAGCACATATCAGAACTATAATTCCTGGACTACAAAGAGTCAATTAAAAGAGATGATGAGAAGATAATCCAAAAGGGAAATCTATAAGCAAACTACACACTTCAAGAAAGAGGCTTATGTATCTCGGTTGGTGAAAATCAAACCCACCATGAAATTCCTAGACTAGGAAAACAAAAAAGTAGAGGAAAAAAAATGGAAAAGGAAAGCAATGGCATACTAGAGATGGACCCTCTTGGTAATTTCAAATTCTCATCTAATTTAAGTATTTTCGAATATTAATAACATGTTTTCGCCCTATCTAAAATTTTACAAGTTCGACTACTAGCATAAAATTCTATGTTCGTCTTTGGCATTCACATAACTGAAGCGGATTACATTTAGCTATTAGATTTAGAACTAGAAAGGGGACAAAAACAACTTCGCAACACTTAACAGGAATGAAATACCTTTCCCGAATACACGCATTTTATCAAGAGCAAGTCAATAAAAAACAAAAACAAGCTCAACCCAAACGCCACAAATCCGAGCTGCAAATCTAATCTTGCAAGGATCAATAACAAGCTCTCTAGTTACAGTGAAAAGTTGTTTAAACATCAATCGAAGCAAATCAAGTTCCCGAGGATAAAAAGTAAAAAAGAAGGCTTTACGAAGAGAGAATTTTACCGGGAAATAAACGAATTTAAGCTTCAGTTGACCTGGGAAGTTGCTTCAAAGAAAATCCCTGAAACTTATAGAGAAGGGGATGGGATTTCGGAGACATTTCCTTCAACTTGAAACCCTAAACCTATAAAATATATAGGATTATATATGGTAGTTGATTTTAGTGCTCGTTTGATTAACTGATTTAATTAATTGATTTGATAAATTAATTCGATTGATTGATTATATAAAATTATTTAGTAAAATTTAACTGATAGTTAATATAGGTAAAATGATAAATAATGATATAATACATTTAATTGTTAATTATATATATGTTTTATAATATTTTAGTCTTTAGTATAATGAAATTATTCGAAAAAAGTACTTTTGACAATGAAATAAATTTTTTTTAAAAAAAATAGTAAATATTTTAAAATTTTTGAATATATTTTTTAAATTTAATATTCACAAATTTAATCTTATATAAAATATCAACATTACATTTTTTAATTTTATGTTTTGTTATATTTTCTTAATTAAAATATATTTGAGAATCTACAACTCAAAAATAAAATAATAAAGTAAAATTTCATTAAAAGATATTAGGATATAATTATGGAAATAATAAGGTCAAATATGTCTTTTAACATCTTATTTCGCAATCAGCTCTTTCAAACCATTGAATTTTCTAGTATTTTCATTTTTAGTTTATTTTGTACAATAATCTTTTTCAAAAAATTGTATACCAAACACTAAAAATGAAGAGTTTAACTATCAATAAGTTAAAAGCTCTTCAAAAAGTTGTTTACTAAACGCTCTATATTTTCCAATATATTTATATGGAGGTTAGAATTAACTTACACAATGTAAAACTCTTTAGTTTTACACAGATTTAAGACTGTTTGATAATTGAAAATATATTATTAAAATTGATTTTTTCCAATAAATATCTTCACATTTCCTACTTTTAAACTCATCTTTACCTATCAAATGATCTTAAATTTATATAAAAATAAAATAGTTTTATATTAGGTAAGAAAATCATGCTATATATATATATATTTGTGTGTGTATAAAGAGAAGATAACAGAGAGGTTTCAAAAGGACGACAACCAGACGAGTTAATTGACGATAACGGACACGAATGGCTTAGTTAATATCGAGATTGCCACTCACTTGCAACGTCGTCAGTTGGCTTTAACTTCTAGAGCTACATGCCGTGACGGTTTTTGGATAACAGCCCAATCGTGTGTTTTTAGAATGGAAATAAATAAAAAAATGTTTTGCCGACAGTGATTTATTTAGAATGGGATTGGTCCGTGAGGGACGGACATCATAGAATATCGAGAATGAGGAAATCAGTTATTCTGCAATGGACACATCATCCAAATGTCACATTAATGCCACATGTTTTGTGTTAGTTGGTATAGTTTTGTCAAATGTACCAAATTCAAATCTACTATAATTATTTATAGTTTAAATTAAAACAAAACAAAACATAGAGCCCTTTTTTGGAAATTTTGTTTGTTGAATCCAAACAAAACTATGAAAAGGTAAATCACATCCCTGACCACTTAATTATGAGAGGATTTTAATTTGACCACCAATCTTTTAATTTTGTCGATCAAATCACTCAATTATCTAAATGATTCAATCAAACCATTTTCCATTAATATTGCTGATGAAACGACATGTCGGTTAACAAATTTGGTATAATTACACATTTAATCCTCATTATTTACACATTTTATTGGCTTGATCTTAATTTAAATTTAGGGTCCGTTTGTTTCACGTAGTGTTTGGTTGCAGGAAATCCAGTTGGTCAACGTAAAACATTTTCCTAGTCAACAGAATTTCTTTTGTGTTTTTTGAAAAATGACTTACGGTCTGATTTTTCGTAAGTTATTTTCCGGATTTTTCACTTCAAAGAATAAATACTCAAAATAATTTTATTTTTTATTAATTTAATATTAATAAAATATTTTAATATCATTTTAATCAAAATATTAATTATTAAATATTTAAAATATATTTATTAATATTTCTAATAATATAATATTATATTTTTAATATTATAATAAAATAATCAATTATATTATAATAATATAAGATATTATATTTTTATTTTAATAATATATAATAAATTATTAATAAAATTTATATTATTTATTAATTTCATAGAAATAATATGATTAAATTATTAATAATGAATAATATTATTTATATATTTAATATTATAATCTAATAATATTTTAATAAAGATATTTAAAATATTAAGTTTTATGATAAATAATATTATTTATTTTATTTAATATATGTAATAAATAATTTTTAAAAATTCATCAATTAGTGGAAAAGGGATTTAAACAACATATTTTAAACATAGTAAAACGTTTTCCAGAAAATGTAATTCATTTTACAGAAAATATTTTCCGGAAAACGTTTTCAGTGTAACAAACGGACCCTTAATTTTGAATATATTGATAGAACGTGCCACCATCTAGTTGAAGGATTAAATTCATATAATTAAAAGATAATAAAAATCAAATTCTTAGAATATGCAAATAATTTGGACTAAATATGTGATCATACCAATTTGGTTAATTGACACGTCAATTCATCCGTCAAATGTTAACAACACGTGACTTGATCGATATCATTTAAATAATTAAGTGATTTGATCGAAAGAATTAAAAAAAAATCGATGGTCAGATACAAATCTCACGTAGCTAAGTCGTCACAATTATAATTTACCTAAAAGAATTGAATAAATGTGAGGAAGAAGAGGGGAAGGTTCCATTGGTAGGTTCCATTAATTTATTTAGTAATGAATTTCTGAAGCTTTTTATCTTTGCTTGCGGAAGAATAAATAAATAATGTATTCTAGATTATTTAGTTGAAGTTTCTTGGTCTATATCATGAGTAAGAGGAATTTTTAAAATGATTAGCAAGGCAGTTCATCGAATGTGATATTGCAGTCCACAGCATTAATCACCTAGCAGGTGAATGACAATCTCTTCGACATGTTAACGACAACTGATTTGATTATGATTTTTATTATTTCGGTCGTGGCTATGATTATGATGCCATGTTCGTACTATGTCGAGACTTCGGCTATAACTTCTACGTATGCTCCTATCATCGATGTCTCTTTTGTTATCAAATCCATCCCGATCAAAGCCACGACCACATCTTCCATCAAAATTATCTTCATGTAATGCAGTAGCTCCAAACGGGGACGTATGCTGGATTTTATGTTAGGAGGGGCGAATTTGAACTTTTAAAATTTTAGGGGGTGATCTTGAACTTATAAAATTCTTGGGGGCAAAAACATATTTTTAATAGAAAATATGTAGCAAAAAATTTAAAATATATAGTAATTTTAAAATTTCAGGACGCGACTGGGTTCATCTCTGGCTCCAAAGTTATGTACAAGACTACAAGCTAGTTGGTCAACCTGCAACGTCCTTAACACGTATAAATTAACGAAAACCGAATTGAAGATGTTATCATAAAACAATTGAAATCAAGCAAGAACCAAATCAAGCATATCATACATTCTTAATCTTAATCACACATTCTATTGCTCTCATTAATAGTGGCGGAACTTGGTGATAATATTTGAGGAGGCCAACTTAAAACTTTTTAAAAAAATTAAAGGTTTAAATTAAAAAAATTAAAAATTTAAAGAGCTCAGTTTACGATTTTTTCAAAAAAAAAAAGGTCTAACTAAAATTTTTAAAAATTTTAGAGGCTTTATGAGATTTTTTTTAAAATTATGGGAGAGTTTTAATTAAAATCATTTAAAAATTTTAAAGCTTAATATGAATTTCTAATAATTTTGTAGGGGCCAAATTATTTTTTTTAAGTTATAAGGGTCTAAAATTGAAATTTTCAATTTTTTTGTGTGGTCGAGGGCATGGCCCCTCAATTTTAAAAGTTTGGAGATATATTCGTAATTATTACACGAAAAAATTAATAGATCATATGACATTAGTACTGTAGTAGTGTTACGCCAAGTTCATTGACAACATATCGCATACAATGTTCATACCATTTTAGATCAAATTAAATTCATGACCAAAATGACCATTTAATATCGATACCTAAAAATGAGTATTGATATTGGACACGTGGTATCGATACTAGAGTAGAAACATCGAAACTTACCGACTTTGAACCTATTTTCAGTATCGATACCTAAGCTTAGTACAATACTACTATAGATAGTATCGATGCCGAAACTTAGTATTGATACTAAAAGTACATTCGAAATACTAAAAAATCATTTAATATTGATATCGAAGGTATAATACCGAGAGCGAATGCACAAAATAGTCATTTCTACTAAACAAACATGCATAAACCTTAATGCATCATAAGCCATACTTGATTCATATCTTGGCTTACCACGTACATAAATGAGCATATAGCTCTTCTTATAATTTCATGTACATAATTCGACTAGATTCATGCTTTCATAACACAACTCGCCTTATTTTTCGATTTTGAATTAAGTTTTTAAATCATTAAGTTTAAAATTTAGAATTATTTTGAACAATTAATGTTTAATTTTTGAAGTTTTATGATCAGGGACTAAAAAGTAAGAATTGTGAATTTAGTAACTTCAATTGTAAGTAAAATTTTATAGCTCATTCATGTGCATGTAAAAGATTAAGGACTGAAGCCTTAATTTGCCCAAATTTCTTAAGTGGTGACTTATTACTCGTGTCATTCAATAGAAATTTTGGCCAATTTCTTTCATTGAGAAAAATTAAGGTTTATGGGTATATGTTATCCGTAATGAAACTCAAATCAACAATTTTACCTCTAACTTTTAATTGTATCGATTTCGCTCTCAAATTTATTAATTTTGCTTTTTGGTCAAACTTTAATCGTTACGATAATGACATGACAATTAACGATAATACTGATGCGATATACTAATAGTATACAATTAATTACATGCATACGTTACTAGGAAGGAAGCAACCATTACACATAATTATACCATGATCATTATGCCATTTTCAAACACATGCCATTTCACACAAGTCATTTCTGAGTCGAACATCACTCAAAGCAGATGACGGGAAACCTTTTTCCCGGAAACCACCTCCGCATTTCTTTCTCGCCTTCTTCACCTCCATATTTTACGACGTATTGTCCGACCAGGAGCTCGATGTTTCTTTGGAAGCAAGGCTCACTTCCATGAACAGATTATCGGATATGTCCCAAAGGGTTTTTGCAAGTTTTGCATTATGTGAAAGCCTTGACGGATCCACACACCTACCTTCTCCACCAAAAAAGTATACCCCAGATACTTCCTGAGATCAACGGAGTCGTAAAATCAATAGTTTCACATGTTCGGAACGAGAGAAAGGTTCGTTACTCTATCGAAGTTGCAGACTTCAGCCTGGGAGACTAACAATATGTTTGAATTCATCATGTATTACTAATAGCATGGGAGACTAACAATGAACTTACAGGTGGGGCAAGGGCTGCATCAAGAATGGAACTAACCCCCTTCTCGGGTGACTGCAAAAGGCCAAACAGTCCGAGAACTCGAAACGATAAATTCGAAAGACATGAAGGGACTTCCCTCATGATGTTGGTTTTTACACACCCAGGATCAGCAGCACTTCAAAAGAAAAACCAAACCATGTCACATAGACACTACCATAAAGCATAAACTGAAGCAGAGATGCAGTAATAGGAATGGTTTTCCAGATGAAGCATATTAAAGATGTTATGAAACCCATCAAAAGAGAAATGATAGTTCCAACTTTCAAATGTTTCTCTTTTTCTTCATGAGAATACGTTTAATCGGAATCGTTTAAAGATATACTTTACAGAGACATGACAAGGTTGATCCGTTGATCCGAGTTGCTGGTGGAGTTCATGCGAGAACAGAATCAGGAATACTGTTGAAACAAAATCATGCATCAACGATAGAAGGGACATCATAAAGGTAATCACCATAATCTTCCTTGATAAGTAAGTTACATTTAGAATACTCATAGATAAGAGCACACGGATATTGTTCTGATCTCAAGAAACGTGTCCCGGAAACCGCTTCCTTGTCAACCTTTAGATCAAAAACTGAAGCAAAGTGCACTAATGCAGTTATTATAGGGTTTTCCTTACCCCTGTTCTTTTAAACACTATGCTTGCCAGAAGAATATTTCATATGGAGCATATAGAATTATACTCACCACATCGATGCGTAAAGGACGTAACGTTTACTATCCGTGAAGGAATGGGGCTTCTTTTCAGAAGAGGTAGTAGAAATTTGGTCAGACAGAACGCCCCTATGTAATTTGTACCCATCATCCTGAGAAACACAAGTGAACTCGTAAGAATGAACTCGAGGACCAAAAAGCGAAATTGCAACCACATGAACAAAACAGCAAGTTGATGTTAATCTGCACTAGCAAGTAACCAGAGGTGAAGAATATTATACGCTTGTACCAATGCAGAATCAAGGCTAGAGCATTACTGATCATAGCCTTCAGGTGTGATTCGCGATGATGTTGCCAGTATCCCGGCATTGTTGATCAAGAGTTGCACCGAAGAATGCATATTGCACTCCGAAAGCCACTGCTGAAGCGAACTTTTGAACTCCGAAATCGATCGGAACGACGACAGGTCAACCACAAAAGCTTTGACAAGGGCATCTTCGTTCTGGGCTTTTATCTCTGTTACAATCTGTAACCAACAAAAGCTAAAATGATAATTGATGAGGAGCATTACAAAATTAGAGGCCACATACAACAATAAACTCGTTGTGTATAAATCTATATACCTTTGATAACAAATGGGATGATCGTCCAACTGCGGAAAAAAGCATAAACAAATGTCATTTGTTAAGGGCGAGTACTTGAACGAGTTGAATCAAAAAATTTCGAATTAATCAAATTGATAAGTCATATTTTATAACTCAAACTTTATTTAAATTTTTTTTTCGAGTCGAATCAAGTTTAAGAAATTCAAGTCATGTTAAAATAAAATTGTTTGAGTTTATATTTAAAATTTAATTATAAATATTTATAATGGTATAATATTAATTGATTCCCTTTCTATAATCATATATGATATACAAACTTAAAAAACAATTCATTAATTACTAAAATTTCGATTTTCTATTTCATAACTTAAACTCTATTTGATTTTTTTTCGTGTTCAATTTATGAAATTTCGAGTCGATTCAAGTCGAGTTTCTTAACGTCGAATTGAATCGGAAAAAATCGATTTTTTTGGAGTTTTATTCACCTCTATCTTTAGCAACGATAAGAACCAAAACCCAGAATAGAATTGAGAGCAAATTTAAAGGAAATGAAATAAGTGGTGTGCAGATCAGAGTACCAAGAACAACATAGAAACCTTCCCGTGAAAGAGCGTATGCAGCAGCAGCTCCTAGTCCTGATGTAGCCTGCATCAATGAGGGAATCAAACAAACAAACACTAGAAGCTAATAATCATCCAGGAAAGTGGTGAAAACAGAGAAGACATACGCCTGTGATGACGCAAACAGGGGTTAGAGTCTCGGAGATTGGAGGAAGACATCGGGGGTAGGATTGCGCTTGGCGGGAAAATATCCTCTTGCTGAGTAACTGGAAGTATGGAATCAAGAGTGAGATGGTCCAAAACACGGCCATTCTCCAAAAACTAAAGGACGCAGCGAAACGGAGAGCTTCCTTCAACTCCTTTATCATGTTTTGCAGCTTCGATGAATTCATAAATATGATACTAGAAATAGTAAGCAGTTGAATCGACAAGATAGACTGAGTTTCTTTGAGACAATCTGTCGAACACTTTATGCTCTACACTGATTGTGCTTGTCGTGCACCCTCATCTTCCCGAACTTAACGGCCTACGACTTTGGGGTAAACTAAGAATTATATTTGTCCCTGTACTATGCTAAAAATTATTATTTGATCTACAATTTTTAATTTACTTTACTTTAGTCACTTTACTTTTATATTATTATCCAGATTTATAATACGTTTAAGTATTAAAACTAAAGTGATGGCATTTTTTTAAATTTAGACCTAATAAAAATATCAAAATGCTAAATTTTAAAAAAGAAGTAAATCCATAATTAGACCTAAAGAAAAAAAATTAACAAAGATATATATTACTTTATAAAAGGAATATTTAATTTTCAAAGTAAAATATGTATGTTCATAATTTTATATTTTTAAGAATGATTACTTATTTTTTTTGAATAAATATCTGATTTAACTCTGAATATTAATTTAATAATAGGATGTGTTTTTCGACGTAAAACGTTTTATAAATCAACTGAAATTTTAAAATAATTTTTATGAATAATTTGTATTTTCTATTGATTCATGTTAATTTTGATTGAATTTATAATATTTTTATTAGTATAAATAAATATAAAATAATATATATTCAAATATTTTTCATCATTTGAGAATGAACTCTTATACACGAATGTATATATTCTATACTCGCAAAGCGATTAATTTCCTCTCAAAGCTCAATAAACAAACTCTTGCACACCCAAAAATAAAAATGAAAAAAATTAATGATTAAATTTACAAATTTCCATCCCCACACACATGTAATAATAAAAAGTAGGTAAAAATTTACCCTTTTACCCCTATAATAGACCCGATTTATCACTTTCGGCTCAATTATATTTTCTCATCAATTTAACATTTGAAGTTATTCAATTACATTATTCTATACTCTACCATTAACTTAAAACCCTAAATTATAAACCTTAAACACTAACTTTAGGCCTAAATTAATGCGAAAATACGATACGAGTAAAAATGATAAATTGGGTTTATTACAGAGACAAAGATGATCCTTAAGCCAAAAAATAAAAATAAAAAAATATAAATCCCTCTCTTTTTCATTGATGAAGTGATTAGTGTGGGGACTTCTAGGAAGCTTAATTTGAGGGTTCATTACAAGTAAATGATACATGCAGGATCAACAACGCAGGAATAATAAGATAAACTAAAAACAAAAGCAGCTGTTAAGTGGTTCAGTTATTACATATGCTCCGAACATGTTACGGGCAAAGATTAAATTTGGATAGCTCAGGGTATCATCACACATAAACTAAAGCCTGCTACAATCAGGTACAGCAGAAAAGAATGGCACAAACGGTTCAACCTCCTCGTCCTCCCTCGTATTCTTCGACCGCCGTCTGCTTCATTCTCTAGCGGTCCTGGGTTCCTTTCGAAATCAGGACTTTATCAGCCAAACCGGTTCCGAATTTTAGCCACACTGGAGATTTCGAGTAGGAGATTTTCTCACCTTGGTACAAACATAGATGTAATGGACATCGGGGTTCTTTCCGAGTACATCTTCCACCGAGCTACCACTCTCGTCCAACGGAACCGGGTTTGTCAATTCCCTCGCTTGCTGGTCAGAAGTTCCTTCCTGTGCCAATTTCGCTGCATGAAAAAGACATACATTAAAAGCACATCATACATGCCAGGCTGCTATATATGGTGGATGAAACTCATTTTATAGGCTCCAAGGATCTAGTTAAGTCTCATAGATCCTAGTCTAATTCCGGACTGATTTCGGCGTATGAACGGCAATCTGCACCAGAGATTTTCGATTTGAGGTCTCGGGTTCAAACCTTGGGAAAAGAGGTGAATATTACGGGATGGGAGACGGTCCCCTACCATTGAGAAACCGATTGAATATTACAGGCCGCCATATATTTATATAAGGTAATTACTTTACATGCTCTATATAGTATATAACAGATTGTTAGAAAGCATTATAAATTCTTGGCTTCGGCGGTCACCAGAACTACAACAAACACACAAAGAATTTGAAATCAAAACAAAGCGAGAAACGGTACGGCATCAACAGCATAATAACCAGACAGGGGAATTCAATCAACCTATCACATGAAGTTTTATGCTCCAACCGCCTGACTCTCTCAGCAATCCGAGACGATACACCGGAGCGCCGTATGTAATCTGCAGCACTTGCAAGAACAGTCAGGTAACCAGAAAATCAAACACACAGATAGAAATCCGAATGCAGGCAATGCATACACTCGAAATCCATTCCCACACGATATATTTAATGCAAAACGGAATAAAAGGCGAGTAAATTTACCAGAATATAGACTCCTTTATCCTTGAGGACCCTATAGTTTTGTTATCAACTGCCTCAATATATGGTGAACAGATCAAGAAAACCCATAAAAGGAAAAATTGCAATGTATACAAGTCTAGTAACTTTTGCAAAGATGATTACATACCTCCAGACTTCGTCAAGCATTTGCGCCGCATTCTGCCTTGAATTACTCCCACACTGCACCAGAAAACTTCCCCATCAACTTATTAAAATCAAAATCGGATCAAAACAAACACGATAAAACTCACCATGATAGAATCAAGAGTCCCTGGAAATCACAGATTCGAAATGAGAATCAGTCTAGAAGCCATCAATCATTGAACTAACAGAAATGAAAACAAAATCAACACCTTTATCGATAACAGCATCGAAGGAACCAGATTGAAAAGGACTCATATCTCGTACATCCAATTTAATATCTGCAACAAGAAAACATGACCAGAACACGTAAAAAACATATCTTTCTGTAAGAAAAATGTTGAATAACTGAAAATATTAACATACATTTCAGTTGCTGCCTGTTGGAGTACTTGGCCTGCATAGCATCGATGACGACGGAGGATATATCGACATTGACAACATCCTCGTACCCATCATTCACCATCTCTTCACTAAAAACTGCAGAAAAAGTGGAGATTTGTTACCTAAAAAACGAGAGATCTGAGAAAGGGTATGGCTATATTCAGGGACGAACTTAGAATTTTATGCTAGTACTAGAAACGTATTGTCAATAGAAAATATATCGGCATCGACAACATCCCCCACCCATCGTTCACCATATCTTCACTAAAAAACTGCAGAAAAAGTGGAGATTTGTTACATAAAAACGAGAGATCAGAGAAAGCGTATGACTAGATTGAGGGACGGATTCAAGATTTTATGCTAGAGCTAAAAACATATTATCAACAGAAAATACATCGACGCTAACAACATCATTCATCATCTCTTCCCTAAAAATGCAGAAAACATGGAGATTTGTTGCATAAAAATGAGAGATCACAGAAAGGGTATGTCTAGATTCACGCGGGATTCTATTTTAATATAAAAAAATAGAGGAGAATTTAAATTTTCAAGAACTATTGCCTCGTCAACCCTCTGGGTCGGTACCTGAGTTGCCGCATCCGACGACGAGAACACGATGGTGGCGGTGGGGGACATAAAGGCGGATAAGGGCAGCTAAGGAAGGGTACTTTTGGTACCAATCAAAGGGAGCGGATTCAGTGGCGTAGCGGTTGTCCCAGTACCATGGCTCACCGTAGGCTTGAGATGATGGCGGCGTCCCCATCGTCATCCTGCTTTTCTGCGACAAATTATGATCAGATCTTGAGTTTTCTTCTTCCGTAATGGGATTTGGTGTTGAGAGAGAGTGGGAAGCTATTGCAAGAAATGTTGTCAGGAGAGGAGAGATTTGGGTTTGTCGCAGGAACATCGTCGTGCCTCGCTTGGGATTGGGCCATGTTTATCATCATCATCATCATCATATCATCATCAACATCTGCTACAGTGTGTCTATCCAACACGTGTACTTTGTCCAAACAGTAAGGAAGAAACACGTGTACTTATTTTGATCCACGTGATTTGGAACTTTATTCGGTATACCAACATATGTTACAAACTCATATTCATAGCATAAGTTAAGATTAGGATCGGCACGGGACAGGGCGGATTTTTGATCTCTTTGATCTCAATTCAAAAATATATACTTAAAATCCGAAAAATTTTACATTTTTTTTTTCACTCCGAATTTTTGACTAAATATGTGATCCCGATCGATCTGAATATATTAATTTATAAAATAACTAAAATAATATATTTATAATTATTTATTATATTTTAAATTATGAAATTAATATATTTTAATAATATAAAAATAAAATTTTTAAAGTATTATATATATATATATATCTGGTCTGTTGGTCAGTGATTTTTTACTTAAAACCCGACCCCAACCAGTTCTAAAATTTTATACCATATAACTCGTTCCGCCCTACCTTGAGCCTCGAAATTTAAAAACACCCTATAAAGTCAAGTCAAAATCCGTCGAATTTGAGTATTTCGATCTTCCCTAATTAAGAACAATGAGGAATGGGTATAATAAAAAAATATTATAAAACTCATTATTTTTTAATTAAGTGTAATCTAAGATATTAATCTTTTTAACATTTTCAATTATCAATTAAAAATATTAAAATATAATGATGAATGTAATAAAAGATGTTATGATGAATGTGTTTAACGAAAAATATTAAAAAAAGTTAACATTAGATCACACTCAAGCTTCTTCAGTACTTTGTAGTTTGGGAGGGTTATCTTTTGGAGAAAAACTGGCTCAAGTCTCTCTTTCTTGTTGCGTGATTGAATATTCCCTCCTTGAGCTCACCGTTTATCAGTGTTATTTTTTTTATAGCTTCTCATTCTAGATTTCTGGGTTATTTTCATATTTTATCCATTTATTATTTTTCTTCTGCTAGAATTTGATAGGGTAATTCAAAATCATCTCTGTTGTATGTTTCTGTATCTGAAATATTTTTTCCCTTTTGCTTATGTTAATTATTGCACTGGTTTGTGTTTCTTTCATAATTATTGGGGGAAATAATTGTCCCAGTTTGGGAATTTGAAGTCTGTTGGTTTCAGTATCACAAATCCTTCATCGCTGCTGTTTGATTTTGCTAAAAAAAGTGTTTTTCTTTAACAAATTGTTTACTGTTGGAATCTAGTGTTCTTCGTGAAGACTTTGAATTCTGAAAATTTTTATGTTGTTTTTCTGGGAATCATACGCTGGGAATTTAGTTTGGGGAATTATATATGTAGATATGCTGAATCATTAAAAGAAGTTTGATATTTGTGGGTAGATTTGCTTTCCATTTTAGTTGACTGTAATCCAGCTAAGTATTATTAATTGTTTTCTTTAGTTTTCTTTCTTCTTGTTTATTACTCTTAGCTCACTTTGTTATTTTTTTTCCTTTTGTCTGTAGATCTGGTTTAGATCAAGGATTTTTCTTGTGTTTTTTCTTTGTTAGTTTTCGATTGTCTTCTAGCTGTGGCCTTAAGTAAGTAAGATAGTGTTAATTAGTCTTAAAATCCTATTAAGTAACCAATTATGTTTCTTAGTACCCCTTAATTATCTAGCGTTTTATTGGTGCATCTTCTGTCTTCTTTGGATTCCTTTCTCATAGTTCCTCATAGCTTCGGCTATAGATGATTACCTGAGGTCATGTCCTTCTTTTAGACCCCATAGGGCGTACAGGGGGAGGGCTCGACAGAGTGATCTCAAGGAGACTAGACTTAGAGTTTGTTCGTTGAATGTAGGCACATTAAATGCTGGGCACATTAAATGCTAGGTTGCTGGAGCTGACCGACGTACTTAGTAATAGGAAAATAGATTTTGCATGTATTCAGGAGACTAGGTGGAAAGGTGATCGCGCCAGAGAGTGTAATGGGTACAAGTTATGGTATTCAGGCGTAGATAACGCTAGAAATGGGGTGGGTATCTTTGTATCCTCTAGGCTCAAGGAGAATGTAGTAGAAGTTTGTAGATACCAAGATAGGATCATGATGCTTAAGGTTATTATAGAAGCAGAAGTGATGAATGTCCTATCAGTGTACGCCCCACACGTTGGCCTAGGGGAGGGAGAGAAACGTTGCTTCTGGGATCAGTTAGATGATGTACTTAGGAGTATTCCGGAGGACCAAAGAGTTTTCATAGGGGGAGACTTCAATGGCCATATAGGTAGCGCAACCGACGGGTATGACGGTGTTCATGGGGGTTTCGATTTTGGTAGTAGGAACGAGGAGGGGCGTACGTTGCTTGAATTTGCTATTGCACACGATATGGTGGTCACTAACTCCTTTAACAAGAGAGATGTGAACTTGAGTATGTTCCATAGTGGGGGACATTGTACCCAAATCGACTATATCCTGGTTCGAAATCGGGATCGATGGGCTTGCATTGACTGTAAGGTGTTCCCTGAAATGTGCATCACAACACAGATTGTTGGTTTTGGTATTCCGCGTACGCCACGGGCGGAGCACTCATAGGAGGGTTACACTTGGTAAACCTAGGATACTTTGGAAGAACTTACATGGAGGGACAGTTGATGACTTCAGGAGTAAGGTTTTGTCTAATACATGTTTTGGAACTACGAACTCAAATAATGCAAATATTTTATGGAAAAATATGGCAAATTTCGTCAGAGAGGTGGGAAAAAATACCCTTGGGTTATCGACATGGAAGGTCAAGGAGCATAAGGAATCGTGGTAGTGGAACGACGAAGTCCAAACTAAGGTGAAGACAAAGCAAACTTGCTTCAAGAAGTATCTACAATGCAATGATGACGAAGAAAGATCGAGAGCTAAACAAAGATACAAGGAGGCAAAGCGGGAAGCCAAGAAAACGGTGGCTAAAGCAAATGATAAGGCATACGAGGAAATGTAGAAGAGATTAGACACCAAGGAAGGACAAAACGACATTTTCAGGCTAGCAAAATCCAGGGAAAATAGGAAAAGGATCTAGGTAGCATTAGGTTTATTAAGGACAACAATGCTGTTCTTTTAGTGAAAAATCATGATATTAAGAGGGTTTGGGGTAGTTACTTCATTGGCTTATTTAATGACGGTGCCTCTCCCAATAGAGATAGTACTGTTGATAGGTCAGCCGACCATCATACTACGACCAATGACTGCCCTACAAGTAGGATTGGGTTTGAAGAAGTCAAAATGGTTCTTAGAAAAATGGGGAGGGACAAAGTTGTCGGTCCATATCAAATTCCTATCACTGTGTGGTTGGCCCTAGGAGAAGAAGGTGTTAAGTGGTTGACCAACATCTTTAATATTATTTTAGAGACTGCCAAGATGCTAGAGGAGTCGAGAGAGTCTACGGTGATACCAATCTATAAGAATAAAGGAGATCTCTAACGTTGTGGCAACTACAGAGGTATTAAACTACTCATCCATACCATGAAGCTATGGGAAAGGGTGATAGAGGCTAGGTTGAGACAGGTTACTAGGGTTTCGAAAAACCAATTTGGATTTATGCCAGGCAGGTCTACTACGGAGGCAATTCATCTACTCCGACGGCTTATGGAGAAATATAGGGAAAAATAGAGATCTTCACATAACGTTCATTGACCTTGAGAAGGCGTATGATAGAGTTCCCCGCGATACGATCTAGAAGACCTTGGAATCGAGACGGATCCCAACTGCTTATATCCAGGCGATTCGTGATATGTACTGTGGATCTACTACATTCGTCAGGACTACAGTTGGCGACACCGAGGCTTTTTCGGTGGAAATCAGACTCCACCAGAGGTCGGCTCTTAGCCCTTACATCGTCGCCTTGATTATGGATGATATCTTTTGTGCGACACCAGACGGGGTTCCATGGTGTATGCTTTTCGCTGACGACATTGTCCTAGTTGCTGAAGCAAAAACTGAGCTGAATAGTAGACTGGCTACCTTGAAGACTACTTTGGAAGAAAAATGTCTAAGGATCAATATTGAAAAGACAAAGTATTTATGTTCAAACTTCAGTGGGAACCAAAACGATGAAGATGTAAAAGTATGCATAGAAGGACACGTTCTCCCATCAAATGATTGTTTCAAGTACCTAGGGTCTATGATACATAAAGATGGGGGTGTGGATGACGACGTTACACACCGTATTAAGGCGGGATGACTAAAGTGGAGGGCTGCTACTGGAGTTTTGTGTGACAAGAAGATGCCTCTAAAACTTAAGGGAAAATTTTATAAAATAGAAATAAGACCAGCGCTACTGTATGGATCAGAATGTTGGGCATTCAAGAAGGATCACGTAAGGAGGATAGAGGCCGCAGAAATGAGAATGTTTCGATGGGCATGTGGTAGGACTCTGTGGGACATGACACCAAACTCTGCTATTAGGATGTCCTTGGGGTGGTGCATGTATCCGAAAAATTAAGGGAGGGAAGACTACGGTGGTTTGGACATGTTTTTAGGCGATAACCGTCAGATACAATCAAGATGGTAGAGTCGATTACAGTCGACGGTGCCAGAAGGAGAAGACGACCAAGGCGGAAGTGGGAAGACTGCTTGAGATCTGATTTGAAGGACTTAGCCCTTACCGAGGACATGACCTCTGATAGGAAATTATGGAGACTTAAGACCAGGGTAGCCGAGTAGTGAGGGTCACATCCGTATGGTGTATTATCTCTGTCTTCTTTTAATGTCTTTGTAGTAATTTATATGACTTCTACTTTTTATACGTTTCTGTCAATGGAAATTATGGAGGCTTAGAACTAGGGTAGCGGAGTAGTACTGCCTTTGTTTAGGTTTTAACCCATTTTATTTATTCCTTCTCGTAGCTTGCTATCGTTAACTTCTGTGTATCATTCTCTTCATGTTTCCTCTTTTTAAATTTTGTCGGGTCTTATGTTTCTATCTATTGCAGAGATTTTTATGTAGGGATTACTTCTCATTTACAGTCGCGCATATTGAAGACTGCATTATTAACATTGTTCAACTATGTATTTATTTAACTATACATGTATTGCATTCTATCTTTATTTTTAATTTTCTGATTGCCGGAGGTCTTCCACAGAAGTTGCTTTCAACCTTGCGTTGGGGCAGCCTACTACCCTACCTCCCCCTTATCCCATTGTATATGGGAATAGGGTTTTGTTGTTGTTGTTGTTGTTGTATTATATCACACTCAACTGAAAATATTATACTTTTTAAGATAAATTACAAATTTATTTACTGAATTTTACTATCTCTTCTATTTCACTCGTACTTTAAAATTTTCTAATTTAATAACTAAACTTTATGCATTGGGTTTTTAATCGATCATTATTTTTATAACAATGTTAAAACATGATTTATTTTAATATTAAAACTCAACCACATAAGATTTATATTTAATAAAATAAATTTTAATTTAAAAAAATCAATTTTTAAGAATTTTTATTTCAAATTCATATTTAAAATCCTATACCAAAACCCAAACCTATGGAGGGTAATTGGTCAGGTTAGGGTCGGGTTATTGGTCAACTCGACCTGATCCGAAAATATGCATTTTCACTCGAACTCGATCTGATTTGAAAATTTTATAACATCTACCCGACCCGAAAAATATATATTCTCCACCCGACTCCGACCTTTTAAAGTATTAATCTAATCCGATCCGATCAGATAAAAAATAAAGATTTAATTAAAAAAATATTTTTAAAAAATTATATTATTATCCTCGGGTCGGGTCGGAGTTTTTTCATCTTCCACCCGACCGTCCCGAGCTAACCTCGTCTCTTAAAAAATCGAACCCAAAACCAACTTTTTTTAAAAAAATCTAACCATATATAATTGAATCATATTGAAACTCGTCGGATTCGGATGAAATTGTCATCCCTACATAAACCTATGAATCCTGCGACCAAAGGAGTCTGCTAATTAATAGATGGGCATGAAACTGATGAAAGTCCACAAGGAGCTTCAATGAAGGTATTGTAAACATGTTTAAGAACCAAAAAATAAAAATAAAAAACCAATGGCGGGCCAAAGCTTACTCATTGGGTACGTATTCACCCTGAAATTTAAATTTTATCCGATTAGTTAATTATTTTATTAATGGTGTACATCTTGAAATTTTTCGTGTCTACCTTAAAATTTGAGTTTTTTTCGATTATTTACTTATTTTATAGTCGGTGCATACCTTGAAATTTTATTATTTTATATTATCAACATAAGTGAACCCATCCGAAAAAATATTTCTAGATCATCACCGAAAACAATGAATTGTGTCTAGTGTTTGTTCTTTCTCTGAAACCCAAAACTAAAAATACCAAAACAGAAGAGTCGCAATCACTCCACGAGCCGTGTCTTCCCTCCAACGACTAGCCGCCTTTAGTTGTACATCTGTTTAGCCATTGGGAATAAATTCTTCCCACTGTGAAAAGCTCTTTGCTGTCTTCATAGCCTATAGCCATTGTGAAGGCAAAACTTAGTTTAATCAATATTATTACTAAAGTAATAGGGATTTAAAGTGTTATTTAACCAAATTTTTGAAAGGGGCCAGAGACCTTTCCAAGCATGACATGATTCTACCCTGCATTTTAAGTTTTTAAGCCTATACCTTATTTACTTGATGCTCAATCTTTCGTTCAACAAGCAGAGAATGGATGCTTGTTGATTTATTACAAAACGATCCTCTAAGCCAAGTATAAGATTCTGCCTCACGTTTGGAATCACACTTTCTTCTCCCCCATGCATTATATATATATATATATATATATATATATATAGACACACGCATGCACACACAGCAAATTAACCTTGGTTGGTCCTACAACAACCAGAAAGCTGTGTTTTCAAAGACTTTGTATATATCCAAAATGACCACGGCTAACTCGGTCGACGGTAACCCAGACGGTACATATCCTTTCATGCGTACAATCGATGTTGTTTGGACCATGAAGTATCTGTGTCTGATACCTGCACTCGAGTTTGAGTAACATACCATGCAGCTGCAATGCCTGGTTTAGTGTTTTTCAATGATTTCAGTTTATATTCACTAGCTATTCTCATTGCAGATCAAGTTGCAAGATCTATATCAGAAGCAGCACCCAGGCATTACATACTAAAGATAATGTCGTTTTCTTTTCTCAGAAAGACCGGCATCGACAAATACGAATCCGGAGAGTTCGACGCCGGTGGATACAAATGGTACCTGTTATTTTCTTCTATATAAGTTAATAACATATGTTCATCAGAGCTTGAACAGCATTTCTGCTTTGTGTACTGCCACAGGAAACTGGTGCTGTACCCACATGGAAACAAGAGCAGAAATGTGAAAGAACACCTTTCTCTCTACTTGGTTTCTGCAGATGTTGCTTCTCGAATCGATTTAGATTTGGAAGTCCATGCGGTTTTCCGGTTTTTCTTGCTCGATCAGACCAAGGACAACTACTTGACTGTTCATGGTATTTTTACAGTTTCAAAGCATTAGCTGCATACAGATATGAGATGAGATGCTTCAAAAATGATGTTTGAACCTTCCTGCTTTTTTGATGCCTAGATGCGACGGGAAAAGACTGGCGATTCCATAGATCGAAGCATCAATGGGGCTTCGATCAGTTGATTCCGATTAGAACTTTTAATGATGCTGGCAATGGATACCTACTGGATGACAGTTGTGTGTTTGGAGTTGAAGTGTTTGTTACCAAGGAAATGTGCTCAGGGAAAGGTGAATGCTTATCAATGATTGATGCCGTAAGTTCCAAGCATGTGTGGAAGATTGAAACCTTTTCCAACTTGGATTCTGAATACCATGAATCTCTACAATTTTTTGCTGCCAATCATAAATGGTACACCATTTATTTCCTACTCCTATCCGGTATTCTTCGAGATTTTCTCATGACGACCTGTAAGATACTATCACTTCCTTAGGTTGCATTTCGCCGACATCCCGAGAACAAGCTGGTATTCTTCTCAGGCATCCCATGTGTCTCAAGCCCTAAGACACCAGATTGTGCGATGCAACCTAGGGGAAGCGGTAGTACCGTTCCAGTCGATGGGTCGTGACGGATTTTAAGCAATATTTCAAGGGGCTTTTTCTTCACCTTCATGATACAGGACAATACAGATTTTTCCCAAAGGAAGAAGGCATAAATCAGGCACTAAAATCTCAATATATTCGTCTTTGGTAGACTCGGACAAACTTAAGGATGGTTCTAAAATATTTGCAGAGTTCACTTTGCGTATTAAAGACCAACAACAGAGTAGACACATTGCTGGAAAAGGTTTAAAACCCTAAATTATGCATATGTATGTATGAATGTATGTGTATGAAGCTTAAAATATTGATTTTCATTTGCAGTTAGACACTGGTTTAGTGAATCAAGCCAAGAAAGTGGATGGGGAAATTTTGTTTCTTTGGCTTATTTCCATCATACGACCAGTGGGTGCCTAGTGAATGATATGTGCATGGTGGAAGCAGAGGTGACTGTCCACGCGGTTGCCAATACAATGTTCGACACTCGAAGTCAAATTGTTGAGACTAATCGTCTAGTAAGAGAATCGAGATGCAAATGAATTTCGTCTTCATTTTCCTTCAAGTATTTGCATCCAGCACTCTATCTGATGCATACAGGAGGAAATAATCCTCAAAATGCATATGCATATGCATATACATATACATATACATATACATATTTGGTAATGTTTGCATTGGAGTTCGAAGATAGAGATGAGAGTTTTAGCCAAAAGTTTTCTCAGTGCTGTAACACATGTAGAGAAACCCATCTTCATCTTTGAAAGAATTATAGACAGACCCCATGAATACATATGTTCTTTTACCTGTTTGAGGCAATGCGTTATTCACAAACACAAAGAGAGCTTTTCCGGGACTCAACTGCAGCCTCCTAGTTAGAATGTGAATGAACTGACCGACCGACATGTCTCGAGGAACCAGGAAACTTGAGAGTCAAGAAAACAGGATGGTTGCAAGAAACCAATTAAAATATTCACCAATCTTGGTGTTAAAACTCTATTAACAAAGAAATGACAAGAAAAGAAGAATAAAATACTTATTCTTCTCTATATCTGGGAGGTCTGTCCTTGAATATCTTTCAATCATCACCTGGAGATATAAACAAACACATGACAGGCAGTCAAAAGGTGATAAACAATCACTTTGGGTGTCGTTGAGCCGAAGCGCGGCTCTTTAATAGTCGCTTTTCGGCACAACAACATCCATATCGAACAGGTAACTGAAAATATTAATTTTTAATATTTTTAGTTAAACCGAAAATATTATGAAAAAAATGTAGTTAATAGAAAATGTTATAAAACAGGTAACCGAAAATATTATGAAGAATATGTGTAACCAAAAAATGTTAAGAAAAAGTTAACATTTTAGTATGCGTTTCTCTCAAACATTACATGATTCTATCCCTACATTTTAACTTATTGAGTTTACGAATATCATTTTATCTTTTATAATATTTCGAATCTAATTAAATAATAATAATATTTTGAATCGAATCAAATATATCTATTTTATTTTTTATTTTTTACTCATATAGATAAGATTTATAATATCTTTTAAAGAATTTATTTTAAGGATAAAGTATTTATAACGTCTCAATTCGACTAAGTATCAAAACTAACTATCCTGTATCGATATTAAAAAAACGTTCTAAACTCTCTCTCTCTCTATATATATAAATAAAAGTTATAATTTAGAGATAAAATTAAAATATTTAAAAATTAATTTTATAATTTAGAGAGGTATCAATTACTAGGAAACTTAAAAAACCTTAATTACTCGATGCTCCATCTTTCATTCAACAAGCAGAGAATGGATGCTTGTTGATTTATCACAAAACTGTCCTCTCTAAGCCAAGGATAAGATTCTTCTTCAAGTTTGGAATAACACTTCCTACATCAAATTAACCTTTGTTGATCCTACAACAACTAGAAAACTGTGTTTTCAAAGACTTTGTATCCGAAAATGACCACGGCTAACTCGGTCGACAGTAACCCATACTGTATGTATCCTTTCATGTGTACAGTCGATGTTGTTCAGACTCTTCATCTTTCATAATTGTACACTGATCGGTCTCCCTGAACCAACTAATAGAACTACATCTTCAAACCATCTATGCGTGCCACGTCGATATACTTGTCTCTGAACTCATCTAAGAACTAATCCCACATAGGTACCTCTGGCTGTAGAGACATATCTACAGTCTCCCACCAATCGATAGCATCACTCTTGAGCAAAGCGCTGATGCACTCTAACTTACCCTATCTGATGTACAGAACTGATGGGACTATACATGCATAAGTGAAACAAACATGAGGTAGGTCTAGTAGTGTGGTCAGTTGAATTTCAAGTGCATCTCAGAATAACACTCTAGCCTACTTTGAATGCTCAAGAGTCTAGGGGGGTAAAAACCGAAATTTTACGTGCATCAAAACTTATATCTCTAGCTTAGCTGGACATTCTAAAGTGAGATTATCCTCTCACTAACTTCTAGCTCGCTTGTTCTCTCGCCTAAAACGTTATGAGAAGGCTTATTAGTCTGTTACTATTGTTATTTAATAAGTTGCTCTATTCTGATCCCTCGTTACTTAAGGATGCTTTAGTCACTTTGACTTAAAGGACGTCTCTATATGTTTCAGGATTCAAAATTGACTACTGAGTTTGTTGATCACCGTCTGAAGCACTAGCTAACCTAGTACATGAATCGGGTACATTACTGAGTAACAACATTCTAGTTGTTTTTATCGTACTTCCCTTCAGTACCTCATGAATTGAAAGGGACAACTTACACTTCTTGGGTTCACTGATGTTCTCGAAGCTCACACTTTTCGCTATTATTGAATCTGACTTATTAATCGTATTGCTCGTCGGCATATCCTTTGTAACGTTCCTTGTCTTTAACAATCCGTATTCGTACTCCACAGAAGATATTTCGACATAATATGCTTAATATTGCTACATCTGTTTTTAGCTATGTTAGGTCACTTATGTCCCTCACTGACTAAGTCTTACTATTACGGATCGTTCTTAGATCTTACGGACCTTAAACATGTCAAATCTGACCATCTAAAGTGAGTAGTATCTATACTCTACTTGCAGTATCAACACCCTAGGGTCAAGTATCGATACCCCTATGAGTATCAATACAAAAAATGCATTATATTGTGAAAAGAGGGGCCTCAGTGTCAATATTGTCACCCTAAGTATCGATACTACCCTTAGTATTGATACTCCCTTCCCAAATCCCTAATTTTTGCCCCAATTTAAACAATATCGATAATGTTCATCCGAGTATCGATACTCGAACCCGAAAATGATTTATTTAGGCTCGGGAATCACCCAAAAATCATCCTAAAGGCAATGATTTGGTTTCTAAACTTGTTCTGAAGCTTTAATAAGTTGTTTAGGGTCATAAGGTGTCATAAAAACGCATTATTAACACCTAAAACGTGATTTGCTTAAGAATTCAAAAGTAAACCCCAAAATGCTCACATCACCGGATCTTAGCAAAAACTCTAAATTTATGAAAACTTAATATTCCAAAGGATTAGAAATACACTATCTTGATGTTTGAATATCGAAATAAACCTCCTTTAGCTAGCAAGCACTTTCCTTTTTGACTTGGTTGATTTTTCACCCCTTTTCCTTTAGCCAACAAAGATACAATGATTTCTTAATATACAAAGAGTTGTAGGAAGTGATTGAGGCTAATTAAAAGCTTAAAGTAATATAGAAAGATACTCTTACCAACACTTTGAACTATGGAAGCTCGGAGAGGAAAAGAAGATGAGAAATGAAGAAGATGAGAAATGAAGAAGATGACAAATTGCTCTTTTGGTCCTTCACATTTTGTCTCATAATAAAAAATCCATTTTTTATGACAAATTGGACCCCAATCCGAACCCAATTAAGCCCAACGATTTTCTTGTGAATTTCACGAGGTTCACTTATCTTTCCCGTAAACTTAAAACTATTAGCCCGAAATTTGGGGTGTTACAGAAACTGCTATTTGTTAGGTAGTACAAAATATCATACGGAAACCTTTGGAAAAACCTCATATATATTTTTCAGTAAATCATGAAGTACACATTCCTACTTCGCTTATATTACAGATAAGAGGCTATGACTAGTACTGGGACTGTTGTATTTCCAAAAACAAGAGTACAATGTTAGTATCCTCACTTTTCGGCTCAAGCCTTCTTAATATCTAATATATATAACTTTTATTTTTATTAGATAAAATAAAGATTTAATTTAAGAAAATATAAAAATATATTATTATAATTATATCTAAATATATAAAAGGTGATTATAATATTATCTCAGGTCAAATTAAATCAAAATTTTTACCCTAAAAAATCTTAATCAACATAATTTAAACTTAAATTAAAAAATTGACCCGATCAAATCAAAATCCGCCGAATTCCAATCAAATATCCATCCCGACATCCACCTTTCAACTTTCTTCTTCTTCAAAACATTTCTCCACTTATAATTTCAAATATTTATTTATTTTTGTTTAATTTATACTGAAAATAATAAATTTGTTGTTTTCTTCATTTTTCAGCTAACAATTTCGCGTTGATTAAAGTTGATAAATTCATGATCAACACTACAACCATAGATAACAAAGAAAATTTTAAAATATTTTGCAATTTTTGTAAAGTGAAATACCACAATTATTTTTATTTGATAAGTAAATCCATTAAATATTTTTTTTTATAGAAAGTCGTTAGTTTTATTAAAAATAGAAAAGATTCAAAATTATAATGAAGATTTACAAGCATAACCGTAAATTTAAAATATAATTATGACATTTTTCTATTATCATTAAGACAAAAACTAGTCACCTAAATCACATAAGAACCAAAGAATGAAAAGGTTAAAAAACATAATCAAAAACTCGAATAAAATAAAGATACGAATAAATCTGACTGCATCGGTAAGCGAACCACAAAAGGGGATTAAGATGCTGAAAGACCACAGACAAATCGCAAATCAGAGTCAAGCGACGTGAGAAAACTATCCACAAACGCAAAACGCGTATTCAAATCAATCCGAGGGTCCAAAGCATGGAAGATCATCATAATAACAAATAAGTGTCATCTTGATCAGTCGTGGCGATGTCAAATCCAAAAAATAAAACAGCAAAAAAATCGTAAACAATGGCAAAAAAACGTAAACTACCAAAAGTCATATATAAACAAGCCACAAAGACAGATATAAACATGACATAAAAGCATAGAACATGTCACAAAGACATAATTATTCTTATTAAAAAAACTAAAAAATAAAGAAAAAAAAGATAATCGACAGGCGGCAACTAGCATTAAAACCGGTGTTGCCACCAGTTAAACAAAATTAAAGAAGAAAAAGTTGAATTAATTAATAAAATTGACACAATTGTAAAGAAGAAAAAAAGGAAAGAGAAGAGGAGGAAGAAAGTGGTTAGGTTTTTAAATCCATTAAATACTTAAAATAATTAAATATAATTTTTAAAAATAAAAATATAAAGTTAAACAAAAATTATATACATACATAATTTTTTGATTAAATATACATAAAAATTAAATTAATATTTATATTTATTATTAGTATAAAAAATAAATCTTATTCAAAATTAAAATACATTTAAATAATATATATATATATATATATATATATATATATATATAACTTTTATATATGTTACACACTAATATATAACACTAATTTCCTTCTTATGTATCACTAATTTCATAGGTAAAGTTTATAAACACTAACTGAATTATGTCAAAAATATGATTATTTTCGTACACTATATTGAATTTTTAAAAATTACATAATCATCTTCTTTTAGTCGACGGTGACAACAATCTTAGTTTTCTTATTTTTCATATTATGTTTTTTTTTCCTTGAGTTTTTTTTTAAATTTTGAATAAGAATATATGTCATTGTGACATGTTTTTCTATGCTCGTGTGACAAGTGTTTTCTATGCTCTTGTGGTATGATCCTATGGCTTTTGGTATGTTTTTCGCATACCTTTGCGGTCGTTTCGGTGCTCAAAGGTCCTCACCATATTTTATTTTCTGATTAATCTATCGGTGGTCAATATTGTCAGATCCCCTCTTTAGTAAAAGGCTGTTTGTCTTTATAATCATAATTGTGTGGCGAGGCAGCCTATCAGATAGTTTGATTCGCTCACCACTCTTTTATCACTTCGTAAAGCATCTCGTTCGACAAAGACGATAAGTTTTTATGAAGGTTAATGAGTTCTTTTCATGTTGGTCGTTATTCTCAAATGAATGTTTTATCTTTGGGTTTAGCATTCTAGTTTTTGTATGAGTTTTTGGGTGACTGTTGTCTCCACTTTTCTTTATATGCTTGAGTGTTTTGTAATTCGAATTCCTTTCTTTTGTTTTATTTAATGAAATCCAATTGATATTGTTTAAAAAAAACTTTACATAATAGGTATTAAATTTTAAATTTTATTACGCAATTTATTTAGATATTTTTAATTAAAAGTAGTATCTAAATTATTATTTATAATTTTATCATAAATTATTATACCAGACAAAAAACTAAACGAGGTAAAAGCTAATAAAGGAAGGGAAAAGGAAGCCTGCCTTCACATGAAAATCTCTACTACCATTGTACCATGCAACGATATGGACCAAGGTCCAAGATCCAAGGTTGCAACGTATACGTGGACTTGGATCCAACGATATATATGTGTGTGTGAGTTATGATTCACTTACATTGTGTAAAACTTTTTTAGTTTTACATTCTTTTAAGATCGTTGAATGAAGGAAAGTTGAAAGTTGAGATTAATTCATTGTTTTTTTTTTCTAGTGAATATCTTCTCGTTTCCTATTATTAATCTCAGCATTGGATTTCCTCTCATCCAACGATCATGAAAAGGTGTAATATATATGGTTATGATTCACTTACACAATGTAAAACTATTTAGTTTTACACAGATTTAGGACCGTTGGATGAGTGAAAATAGATGGCTGATATTGTCTCCTTAATTTTTCCCCCAGTAAATATCTTCACATTTCCTATTTTTAATCTCAATCATTTGTATTCACTCATTCAACGGTCTTAAAAATGTGTAAAACTAAAAGAGTTTTACATTGTGTAAGAGGATCTTGCCTATATATATACGGGGACATGATCCATTAACATCAACCTTTAATTTTTCTCAATCCACTGATCTTAAAGGTATAAAGCTTTTAATATTACACTAAATGTAAGCGGATTGTGCCCGTGTATATATATATATATATATAGGCATGATCCGCTTAAACTATGTAAAACTAATAAGTTTTACACCTTTTTAGTATCGTTGGATAAGGAGAAATAAAATGTTGAGACTAATAGTAAGAAATGAGAAGACATTCACGGGGAAAAAAACGATTTAATCTCATTATTTGATTTTCACTCATCTAACTATCCTAAAAGAATGTAAAACATAAATAAATAAATGAAATATATTTAAGATTTGAGGTTTAGGATTAACGATTTGGGTGATGGGTTTAGAGTTAGGGTGTAGGTTTTAGGGTTTGAGTTTTAAGATTTGAGATCAGGTAAAAAGAGAGATTGTTTTGCTATGAGTTAGAGATATTAAATCTAAGTAATTTATTTAGCCGTTATTTCCCTCGATCTAGTAATCCTAAAAATGGTGTAAGTGGATACTAATATATATATATATATATATATTCAAAGAAGAGGATAAAGAACTACTGGTATACTGCCATTTTAATGACATGCATATTAATATGAGAAGCTAACTGTTCCCCCCCCCCCCCACAAAGTATAGATGCTAACCGGTGCATATGGCACATGGGATTCATCCTTTTCCAGTCAACTCCGCCACAGGAACAGCCTGTACCTATGTAAATTCTTTCTTCTACTTTAAGTGTTGATTTCAATAATTTCTTCTTTTCTCTTTTCTTTTGACGTCATCCCAAGTATATTTATTCCATCCTCAATAAACAACAAGCAAAACTCTTTAATTCCATGCTTGTTCGCTCCACGAATATTTATATGACAATGATGACATTGGTAGAATTAAATCTTTAAGTTCATTGCTCTATCCATTCACGGGAAGGATAGAACCAAGCCATTTCCCTTTTACTGTTCTGCAGTAAAACCAAAATTCAAAGTCAAAGAATTGATAAAAGTTGAAAAGGACATATCAACACCCCCATGGAATTTGACATTGCTAGTTTATTACAAGTGTTTTGCATTTGTTCTGTACCACAGCCGCCTTCCTTCATCCCCTTTTTCTCTCTCTTTGATCTTTCTTACATCACTGTTATAATAATCAATGCTTAGGTAAACGTATATTTCAAGCATCCGTATGCTTTGATAAACAAATTCATTCTGGGAAAAAAAACTTTGTTTTTAAGTCGCAGACAGAGACCAAACTCTGCAAACAGACAGAGTTGACATAGTTGCTGACTTTTAAGGTTTGTTCTACTTCTATGGTTTTGTTGCGGTGTTTGGTTCTTCTTTCTCGGAACTGGGTTTTTGTTTATTTGCTGGTTTGTTTATATGTTTGGATGATTGAATTGAAAGTAGGAACTGTTTTGCTGGTCTTTTTTGTTGATTCTGTTCGTTAGAGTATATCATGGTGATAATATAGAGGTATGAACGTGTTTAGGTGCCGATGAGGAACTTCGATGCGCCCCTTCGGTGCCTCTTGAAGCCTGGGGGCACAGAACCTTTAAGGGCGTCTCGATTTTTCGACTGAAAAATCGAATATCCGGGAAGAGTTCGATCATCTAAATGATAGGCTTGTGTGATGTTTTACATCAACAATGTTATGCAGGCTATGGTAAAACAGACTATATATGCATAGGTTAGGATATAGGCTATGGATTGCAAACCAGACCAAAGTAGGTGCTGCTGAGGAACATCGAGGTGCCCCTTCGGTGCTTCTTGAATCCTCGGGGAACAATACCTTTAAGGGTGTCTCATTTTTCGACGGAAAAACCGAATATCCGGGAAGAGTTCAATCATCTTAATGATAATTTCTGACTTGTGTAATGTTTTACATTGTTATACAGGCTGTGGTGAAACAGACTATATATGCATAGGTTAGGATATAGGTTAAACCTTTAAGGGTGTCTCGATTTTTTGACGGAAAAACCGAATATCCGGGAAGAGTTCGATCATCTTAATGATAATTTTTGACTTGTGTGATGTTTTACCATGTTATACAGGCTATGGTAGAACAGACTAGGTATGCATAGGTTAGGATATAGGCTATGTAGTTGCAAACCAGACCCAAAGCCTGAGTCTGAGAGATAAACGTTTGCAGTCCTAGAAGACATTGGTAATTTTTTCGGATTGTCCGGAGTTTGAACTCGAGACTAGGTGTCAACTGAAGAATCAATAACAATGCTAGTTGACGAAGACGTCGGTATTTAAATATATACATAATAATTTTCGAAATGATCATGTGTTTCATCCTTCCTGTCTGTCAATATTTCATTTCTTAATGTCTATATGCTAACTAGCAGGAAAAGGAAAGAAACATGAGTTGCTTTTGCTGTTGTGAAGAAGATGACACACATAAAGCTTCTAAAACCGGACCATTCATGGCGAATAACCCTGCAAGTAATTATACAGTCTCGTCTCTTTGTATAGTTTCATGCGTAAATATGCTTAAATTAGCAACATATATGTGTGTAGGCAATGTTGGAGGATATGGATATCAAGAAAGGGCAGCAGCTGTCACAAGGGATCCACAGCCTCCTGTTATAATTCAACCGATTACCATCCCTGCCTTGTCGGTCGATGAGCTAAAGGAAATGACCAATAATTTCGGTAACAAATCGTTAATCGGAGAGGGGTCTTATGGAAGCGTATACTATGGCGTTCTAAAGAGTGGGAAGGCTGCTGCCATCAAAAAGTTGGACTCCAGCAAGCAACCAGAACAAGAATTTCTAGCGCAGGTTGGACCTTCCTTAACAAATTTCATCGAATAAAAGGATGCTCACATGTATTGCAGAATGCATGACTTCGCTATTCCGAATAACGTATCTAACAGGTCTCCATGGTATCGAGATTGAAACACGAGAACGTTGTTGAGCTTCTTGGTTACTGCTTCGATGGATCCCACCGTTTCTTGGCATATGAGTATGCTCCTAATGGATCTCTCCATGATGTGCTTCACGGTAAGCAATATGTGAGTGTCTGTGTGTGTTGCATAGTGGACTAATGCAATTATTCGGTTAATGAACATATACAGGGAAGAAAGGTGTGAAAGGAGCACAGCCAGGTCCTGTTCTGTCATGGACACAGAGAGTTAAAATTGCAGTTGAGGCAGCAAAAGGCCTTGAATACTTGCACGAAAAGACACGTCCTCGTGTAGTCCACCGTGATATTAAGTCCTGCAATCTACTTCTTTTCGAAGATGATGTTGCCAAGATTGCTGATTTCGATTTGTCGAATCAAGCCCCTGATGCGACCGCTCGTCTCCATTCCACACGCGTTCTTGGAACCTTTGGTTATCATGCTCCAGAGTAAGTTGTTCCTTCACCTCCTTCTGTTTTTAAGTTTCTGATTTTGCATCTTGCTGAGTTCGAGTAATCGATCAGTTCGAGTAATCGATCAGTTTGAGCTGCCCTTTGCCAAATATATAAACCAGCCGCATGATAGTTGACAGTACGACATTGATTAATTCCTACTTGTGACTTTGAATGGTAGATTTGCAATGACGGGAACGCTTACTTCGAAGAGCGACGTCTACAGCTTTGGCGTTATCCTTCTGGAGCTCTTAACCGGACGTAAACCAGTCGATCATACGCTGCCACGCGGACAGCAGAGTCTCGTGACATGGGTACGATTACTATTCGATAAATTCGTATTCACCGTATCTTCACAATAACATCTGATCTCCATGTGAATATTTTCATTTGCGGACCGCGTTATAGGCAACCCCGAAACTAAGTGAAGACAAGGTGAAGCAGTGCGTTGATGGAAGACTAAACGGACAATACCCTCCCAAAGCACTTGCAAAGGTAATTGTTGAATTTTGATAGAGATAAAGGAACTACGTTTCAAAGCATTGATCTTAACAGACGTCTTTTTTTTTTCCGACAACAGCTGGCCGCTGTTGCTGCATTGTGCGTTCAATTCGAAGCCGATTTTCGACCTAATATGAGCATCGTAGTGAAAGCTCTTCAGCCTCTGTTGAACACAAGTCGCCCCACAACTTCCCATGCCCAAAGTGAAATGCGGCGTTTGTGATAAAAGACGAGATTTTGTATCGAGACTGGTCGATGTCGAAAAAATGTCATTATGATTGGTTTTGTAGATAGGTGCTGTGCAGAATCTGTAGGGAATGTCATAGTAATGAAGTGCAGGCCAAAAAGTGTGTTTAACGTATTGTCTGTCTCTATTTCTACATTGGATCTTCCTTTAATTCCAAAGCATAAGATTGTGACAATTGAGGAAAGTGTTGCAGATTGGACAAGTTTGGAAACTGTGGTGTCATTATCGTTGGACCTAAAACCATGCGTAAAGATGATGATGCCATCGTCTTCATGGTCGTGAGCACACTTATTTTTGCCCCTCCTCCGGCACATGGAATGCGAAATCGACATTACTTGCCTGTTAAGGTAACTCCTCTTGTAGCTTCCCTAGGGCAGTAAACGAACATAAATCGAGCACGAACAACCTTAAAAATTAACAAACGGGCATGCATAAAGATCTATACCTTCAAACTATACTTGTTTTCAGCCCCAAGCTTCCCATACATTTCTTTTCACCCTAGGATCAAAAGTTGACAGATTTACTAGAGACAACAGCTCTGCTTACTCTTCTCATTCTTCTCCATCCCAGCAACAAAGAATTCATAATATCGAATAGAAACGCCTAATTCGAATAACGGGACAAAATTATATGGAATCCATATAGGCATGTACGGAAAGTCTAGTGGCAATGACCTTTCAAGGCACAAACTAATATGCTCTACAACCTTTTGAAGAAGATATCTACTTCAAAGCTCCACAAAAGAAAAGAAAAATCCCTCAGTTTCCTGCATCTGCTGGAAATCTCAGCTAAAGGGCCATCTGAAGGTGTCGGAATAGAACCGAATGCAATGGTGGTGGTTTCCCTTGTTTTCAGCCTCTAAAACCCGTTTTGTCCCCGAGTCTACGGTTGATCTTGCATTCAGCTCCCCAACCTTGAATCTCGATCATCACCCCGATCAGCATCGGAGTTTTTCTTCTGTGTATCAACATCTGAATTAACTGACTGATTCCTTCTGTCTCCTATCCTGAAAACTCTGTCCACGATACATCTTCGGAGTGAGTCAAGCTATAACTTCGACCGAGAACTAGACATTCTCCTATACGACAATTAATCTAAAAGCGAGCTAGTAAAGTATCAGAATCAAACCTCTCGAGGAATAGGATACTCCTCTGCTTCAAGCATGCGAGTAACCTGACTCATCTTTGGTCTTTTTTCGGCATCGGGGTCAAAACATCTCAAAGCAGTCAAAAGAGCCCGTTTAAGAGCACTAATTGATGGTCTGGTCTCAATGTTAGGGTCAACTACTTCCTCTGAACGTCTGAGTTGAACCATCATCTTTAACCACTCGACCATATTTACCTGAGATTTCATGGTACAATTGGTCATGTAAAAAATGCTATACCGAGTCTTTTCGAAGCCTATGCCGATGAAGAAGTGTAGTTTAAGTACCTCAGGCTGAGGACGACCATAATCTACCAGGCATTTTCCAGTAAATGCTTCTAAGAACACAACACCAAAACTATAAACATCACTCTTCTCGTTCAGGAGGCCGGAGTTAGCATATTCTGGAGCAACATAACTGAAAGACCGTGTAAACAGGAGACAAAGATAACATTAACCAACGACTTCTTTAGCTTCTCGAATGATATAATTCCTTACTCGGAGTAAAAACAAAAAGAAGCAAAAAACAATGATAAAATAAACCGGAGAATGAATTATCTAGTAACAATTGATCATAGAGGAAGGGCAGTATTCTCACCCGAAGGTACCCATAACTCTCGTAGTGATATAACTCTCCCCGTCATCTAGCAGTTTGGCCAGGCCAAAATCAGATATATTCGCATCGAAGTTTTCATCAATCAGTATATTACTCTATTTTATGTCTCTATGCATGACTTTTGGTTCAATCGCCTCGTGTAAATATGCCAGCCTGCAACATTTAGTTTTTAGTAACAATTAAGGTTAAAACCGAGGTAAGTTTTAACAACCAAGATTTTCGTTTAAGACCGAGTGGTCACTTACGCTTTGGCAGTGCTGAGAATGATCTTTATGCGAGCCTCCCAGGTAAGATATCCCTTGTGAGACATATCCCCAGGGCGCCATTGCTCTAAATTGCTGTTGTTGACATATTCATAAACCAATAACCTGGATTTTATAGCAGAAAATTTTAGAAAAAAACAGTAAATATCGGTTTTCTTTCTATTCCGCATAATAACTCGCACTGATAATAGACATAACAATGCTTGCGGAAATATTCAAATCCAGGGAGTACATATAACAACATGGTACCTCTGTGTGCCCTCGATGCAGTACCCAAGAAGTCGAACTAAGGTTTTATGCCGCACCTGACAAACGGCTTCAACTTCCACCCGGAAAACCTTGTCAGCTTGTCCACTAAAGAAAGCATAGAATCATTATCAGCCAATGCTACAAGCTGCAGGCAGCATAACATGAACAAAAGGATTAATCTTTCATATAAATAAGCTTCACCGCAACATACGATTGTTAAGAAGCTTTTTGGCAGCTACGGGAGTCCCGTTAATCAAATTGCCCCTATAAACTTCTCATTAAGGGTGTTCACCCCACCATTGTTCGCCGAAGCTTGATCAACTTCTATCTCTTTAGTTTCCTCCGACACGAGAGGCGCTTGGCTCAGAGGAAGCATGGCATTCCCCCTTCTGGTTTTCTTCCGAAAGCTAAGCCACAGCGACACGCTAAGGATAACTACAAACACCACACCTAAGCCAATTACAATAAGAAGCCACAATTGCAGACCAATGTATACTTTGGACAGAGTTTTGTTTAGATCAGATGCCATTTTTCACCAACACCAAGATGCCTGAAACATGTTCAACTAAAATAACTTAACAATCAATAACAGCTACATATTTCTGCATTTATTCAATATATCAATTGGTTTAAGGCCAAAAGCAAATACCAATCAAATCTATTTGACAGCAAAAAAATGCAGAGTTAAAGTAAAAATGGAAAAATAAGAAGAAATAGAGTGCTAAACCCAAAAAGACCCTTCAACCTAAAAAAAAAAACCCCTTTCTTCACATAATAAACAAAAACCAGGCATCACATTTCCATCAAACACTCTACATTTGACAAATCATCACAAATAAAGACTGGAACCAGTGCTAATATGAGGGGGAAAGGGGGGAAAGGAAGAAGAAAGGAGCAAAATTTAGGACTGCGGGTGCTTATAAAGAAGAAATGGGCAAATCCCAGAGGAAATGAAAGCATAGTGAGAGGCGATAAAAGGGGATGTTGGACTATAAAAAAATATGGGGTTTTTGTGGGGTTTCATTTGATAAATGGGTCACAAGAAGAGGTAGGTAATGAAGAAAGACATGCCTTTACATTAACAGTGAAATGGAAGCAGCTTACACAACAAAACAAAACAAATGGAAAACCCCTTTTTTCTTTCTTTGCCGTTTCTTCACTTTTATTTCTTCATCTATCACAAATTTTTTACATTGATTCATTATGACCATATATTCCAAATCCTTGATTGTTGTTTTAGATGTTAATTTCGTAATCTCAACAGTGTTCTTTTTAAATAAAGGTGAAGTCTTTATGTATTGGATCTGCATGCATTAGTCAAAGAAATACACTGGACGCCAATACCACCGAGCTTTTGATCGACCATATTCACTTTCATGGTATATACAAGATGGCTGACCATACGTATGCATGTATGTATAATGTATGTATGATTGAGGAATCAAGCATAGTACCCCACAAAGCTAAGAGTCAAAAAGTGGGGTTGGAATTCCAAAGTTTGCAGAAGCATTCATTCCAAGGCTAAACCCCACAATGATGATAAGAAATAGAAGGGCAGAATTGCTGTAATAATGAAACATAGGATGAATGATGAGGTGCAGAGGAATGATGGTTGTTTTGATAATCCAATGTTTTTCTTTCTGAGTAAATATATAACCCAATGTTTTGATCTACCTTGTAAAGGTCAATGATTATTGTAAAACACAACTTGCATCACATTTAAGCCAAACCCCCAGATTGCTTCAGATATCAGTTACCAGCACAGAGAGATGTTAATTCATTTTTCTTTGTTGTTTATTTATCTATCATCAATCATGACCATCCGCTGGTGGAATTCATGATTATTTTATTGCCACTTTCTCCATGCCTGTGTATGAACAAACTAAAGGTATAATATATATATATATATATATATATTCACCCACTCAATTAACTCAAAATTATTTATCTTTAACTCAAATATTCGCCCATAAATCTTCTTATTGATATTTTTTATCAAATTTAAATAGCATGCTCCTCTAACACTATAAAACATCCGTACAACTTCAATTCATATAAAATATCTATGTAACTTTCCATTCTTATTTTTGATAATGAATTTATTCCTTTTACAGTTTAGTATCTTCATTTTACATTTTATTCAATTTACCTTTTATATGTAAATTTTCTACAAATTCTTTCCCTCCATCGTTCATTAACTCTTTGCTCTCATCAATATTTTGTTCTTCTAAAATACTTTTTTCAAAAAAAAATTATTAATATATTTTTTAATTTTAAATATCATTTGATTTATTAAATAACATTGAAATGTAAAAAAAACATAATATATATATTTATGGTTAAAGAATGTCGTTAAACCGGATCAATCCACACCATTGCATTATAAACATTCACAACTAAATTTGAATAAAAACTTGAAAATTCAACTAGATTTTCACAAGACTCGTTAACTCAATTATCTCGAAATTTTTTGACTCGACTCGTTCAAATACTTACCCCTACATGAAAGAAGTGCTTCTAATAAGTGTTCAAATAAACATGTCAAATATTACAAGACAAGAATTATGCAAATTTACGTGAAAAAAAAAACTAAAAGAAGAAACCACAAATATATAAGAAAATTTTCATTATAGTCGACGACAAATTACAAGATGATTTTGCAAAGGTACATGTAATCCTAGTTGCATGATGGAGGCTACACATCCACCATATATCCCCATTTTTGTTCCTAGTTTATTCCTTTATCAAAGCAGGTTTGATTACTAGGGTTCATTAAGTAAACTAGATTTTAATCGAATTATGCTTGCATCTAACCGGCAATGCAGAAGAAGCTATTATAGGTTTGATTGTACTTAAAGATCTGTTATTCTCAGTGAACAAAAGAAGAAGGCAACTAACTTAACAAAGGTTCTTGGTCAGTTTGTAATTCTACTTCAGAAACTACCAAATTCAGATCATCAGAATTCAAACAAGTGCCATCGGACATGTAACATGATTGTGTGCAACTTGAAATGGCTAACCAAGGTCTACGATAAAAATATGCCTGAAATATTCTTTCTATATCTAACAAGTCCTAATGTTGTATGGTCTTATATATCCACCAGAAGCCAGGAATCAAATGTACAAAGACACATGAAACTTTCGATGTGCGACCTGCAAGAAAACCAGTCTAGGCAACTCCGAAACAATGCAGTAGTACTAAGCATGTTCTTATCCATTCAGAAGACTATCTACAATGTATTACCAGATGATACTTGTTTAAGGCTTTCAAAACATAAAGAGATTGAAGAGGCGGTCTCGGGCTCCATTCCTCATCAAGGATCAGTTCACGATCGCAGAAAGAATCGGATATTCAAGTGGACAAACAAGCAATAACCAAAAAATCAAATGAGCAATGTATATAAGTTTAGAATATAAACTTGGAATATAGGAGACATTCGTGGTTGCAGAATTTAGGCCATTCACTCAAGTCCATCAAATATCTAAAACTCTAAAGCATGCAATCAAACTACAAATCAAGCCATTTCTGGTAATAAGCACAGGTGTTAGGAGAGATTATTCCATCAGGGGTACAACGACTTATCTGCGGACAAACTCCACAAGGAATGAAAGCCAGCGCGCCAAGCTTGGGTTCTCCTCCATAACCTCTCTTACCAATGCATTTATAACAAACTTTCCCGACTGGAATCGAAGCAAACTCCCCGGTTCCGGTACTTTTCACTTCCATAACTTCATTATCCAGAACCAAAGCCTTCACAATTTCTTCGACCTGTTGTTTTGTCAACTCGATTTGACAAACATTGCTCCTCTTAATAGCATCCGCAATCCCTTCCAAAGTAGCAACTTTCACGCCATAAATCTTCCTCCAACACTGCTCTTTCAAGACGTTTATAAACTCCGTATCGAGGCTGCCTTCAACGTACCATGCCCCACCGGTTATTTCGCTGGACGGCTCGAACTCGGCAGACATGTAATGCTTCCTACCCCGATTTTGGATGCTTTTCACTTCTTTTACGAGACTCTTAGATACAAGTGACTTAATACATTTTGTGATTATGTTTTCGGCAAGATTAATTTCTCGTTTAATTTCCCATTGCGACACGCCCATGTCTTTTTTGCTTCGGATTACTTCATGAACACTCTTTTCATGTTCTGTTACGGCGGAATCGGCAGCCGGACCCGGGCGTTTTCTTTTCGCGCTCATTCTAATATATGTAGGGAAAAGAAGAATAAATTAGTTGAATATTGAATTACCAGTTCGAAACTTATTCTACATTAACAGCGCTGCCCGCCACCGACACCACTTAAAAAAACAGAGGGATGGTATGAGATGAAACTGGGTGACAAACAGTGTGTATTAACATTCAATTTTAGTTTAGGGCTTCAGAAAATTACCTTACTTTGCCTGACGGGAGCTTGAAGGCAAGAGATGGATTACGAGGCCGGCTCAGAGTGATGGATAACCGTTTGTCTGGCGGCAGGGATCGTGTGAAGAGATAGACGAGGTGGTTCTGGAGAATTTTGAAGGGAAATTTTGGCTTTCAATTAATAAATTATTTAATAAAAATAATTTAGAAATTTTAAAAAATAATTACACATAACCTTTAAATCACATACCTATTTAATAAGAGTTAAAAAATGCTCATTTAAAATATATAATCAAATTAAAAAAGGTAAATTACACGGATCATCATTATATTTCTCTTTATTTTCTATTTTACTCATTGTACTTCATCACTAAATTTAATGTAATTGACAAATTTGGTCACTCAGTCGTTTCCCCCACAAACGACATTAAATAATATTATTTTGTTAATTATTTCTTCTTCTTCACCCTAACTCTCTCTCACTTTCGATCCATCATCTCCGGTCAACGGTGGCTTGCATCGCCGCCACTAGCAGCCTCAGTGTCATCTCCCGAGTAAACCCCAACCACTAGCTGCCCAAAATCGATCGTTAAAACATCGCAAATTGTGAGAAACCCATAACGACGACGCTGTTGATTTTTTCGATTTTCAGCCGATTCCGTTGTCGTTGCACCTCATTGCCTTCACCAATGAGCTCATTGTCCAGTTCTGACCGAAACCCATGTGGTAGTATCCCTTCGCTGTCGCTCTATCATCGTGTGTCTTACCTCCGTCGTAGGTAAGAGAGGAGGGCTGATGGGGGAATATGACGTGAGCGTTCTGTTAGTCGAGATAACAACTTAGTGACCCAAAAACTAATTTTATTAAGTTTAGTTATCAAAAACACTAAATATATAAAGTTCAATGATGAAATTGATCAATTTTAAAGTACAATAAGTGAAATAGAAAAAAAAAAGCAAATTACAATGACAATCCATGTACTTTACTCTAAAAAACAATGGGTAGCACAAACCAAGAGACAATAGTGATAATTGAGATCTAGAGTTCGGGCATTGCTATTTTTTTAGATCTCAAGTTCAAGCACAAAGAATGTTAAATGTGTGAACGTTCAATATCAAATAGTTAAAGAGTTAAAAAAATTAGATTAAGTCAAATATAACACGTGGATTCAACTATAATAAATTGAATAAATTATAATAAAACTTATCATGGGTATTCTTGATTATTGCGTTATAAGATCAAAATGCTCCTAAAATAAATAAATAAATTCGTGTTGCTTAAAAGGATAGAACAAATGCAATAATGTCTCTTCCAATGACACGAAAAATATGTGGAATTCACTTGAGAGATTTCTTAATTTCTAGCCATACAACAATCTTCAAAGTTAAACTTCCAAATAATTCGACAACCGCTCCCACAAAATTTACACAAAACAACAAACACCACCAACCGGATGTGCACATCTCAGGCAAGAATCAATAATATAAAATAGAAAAGCAAAAGAAAATTGTATTAGATCCCTCACACCAACTTCCCAATGCTCCCAGTCCCATCTGTTCGACAATATAAGCAGAACAAATCACTCACTAATTTCAAATGGTCACCTTTTATTGCGGGTCCCTTAGATATAACAATCTCCTTGAAGGTGCTGGAGGTGCCAACCCCCCCGGAATATCTCTGATATCTTTGTTGTTTGGATTCACAATCTGAAATTTCCACGTTGCAATTAGAAAATCAAAATTTTGTGCACTAGAAGCCGATCATTGTGAAGAATGCGTCTGAATAGCATTGCTTTTGGCTTTCTAAAAGCACTTTTCACCAGCAAAAGAAATGCTAAACAAAAAGCTTTCGCCATCCAAATCACTTCTTCACAAAGTGATTTGGAGTTGAAACACGACATTGGCTACTAGTTACTTTTTAAAAGGACTTTTCAACCTCAACAGTAATACTAAACTAGCCCATAATTTTATTTAAAAGAACACGGTTACTATGTGGCTTAGTTTGCTGCAAGTATTTAATTGTAATTAGTTGTGACAAATGTACACTTTCATCTTTTCATATCACAAATGAGATGATGGGGAAGTTCAACACGTTCAGCAGGCTACAAAATTGAAATCAATAAGGTAAAAGAATACCTTCACAACTATGATGGCTATAACACCGCATACTATAAGAAAAAGAAATAGCATGATGCATTTATCAGTGGCCACCTGGAGGAAGAAGAAAGATGATTAATATGGCATAAAGGATTGTCAAATTGAACGAAGGTTGCATCTAAAGTGCTAACAATCAACTAACCTGCCTACCGATCTCCTTCACCAGCTGGGATGCCTTCTTAATAGAAAACTGGATTGTATCCAGCTCATTTACAATACGGCCCATTTGATCAGTCTGAATAACTTTCAATCAATCAGCATATGCACACGACACAGCAGTCTCAAGAAAAATAATAATAAACGACAACTTAATCTGACTTACTTGGCCTTTTAGAGTAGAAGCAGTTTGGGTTCCCACTTCAATTGTTTGCTCGACAACCTGTGAGTCTAAAAGGTAAGAAAAAAGAAAAAGAAAATGGCAACAACGAAGTGGAGGCCTGCCCTGCACAAGGGAACAAAAAACTGTTTGTGTTTACCTTTTGTGTGCGTTCAATGGCCTGATCAGTCTCATCCATCGTCTTCATCCCATGATCAACAAGCTCTTGATTTGACATTGCTGCAGGCAAAGTCATGCATTAGTAAGATAGCCTGATAAGAAAAGGCAATCTCGATGCTGAGATTCTGTTGTTACAAGTTCATAATTTTGAGTAAAGACCATGGACTAGACTAATTTTCCTGAAGCATCCAAGAAAGTCATGAATAGTAGCTTTGTTCCCACACTGTCCAACATTCTAAGAAGACTCTGCCTCCCAGTTTCTAGGCAATAGTTGAATAAAAATGCATACAGCATGACAAAATCCATAATCAACTAGATCAGCAAAATCATAATTGATATGAAATACAGTTGTATTAGAATGTATTTGCATATATAACTTTTAAAGAAAAATAGCAGGTAATAACAGAAAAACCATCATTTTGATAGCTAGGAGTCGTTGATCCCAAATAATAATTCTATATGAATCACAAACTCAACCGAGGGTAAGTAAGATCTTACATGATGCCACTTTAACATTTTCATCTGCTATTGGTTCACTGACTCCAGCTCCCATATCAAAGAGTTCAATTTTCTTGTTACCAAGGGTATTCATGTATCTGCAGGTACACATTAAAACATGAAAACTACAGAGGAAAAAAAGGACAGTCTCATTGGGCTTTTATGGGCTGAACTCTACCACTCAAAAATTGGTTTCACCCTACATTAGGAAAAAAGTCAAGTTTCAGACTTGGCTAATCCCCAAACTTCACAACTGAACTGGCACACTGTAAATACAAATTTGAACTTCAGATGGAAAAACTAAAGTCACCATTATTCCCTTTAGGATAGTCAAACTTACGTTTTTCTCAATGCTACATACGAATTCAGTTCTTTGATCTGCAACAACAACAACAACAAAATATTAGAAACTATAAATAACATAAAAAGAAAGCATATTAGGGGAGATAATTCCACCATAAAACAATGTGACTATCCATGTCAATGGCAATCTTATTTCCTCAATTAAACCATTTTATGATGTGATAAACGTTTGTTAACTTCCAGGCTAATAAAACACTCTTATTATATGCCTATGCCTTTCGATGCAATAGTAAGGAAATTTGAGGTTCGGAAAAACTTACCATAGATTGCTTCTCATCATTGAGTTGCTTGTTCACTTCAGGAAGATTTTTACTTTCCTCATCTTTAATTTCACGATCAAACTCCTTGATTAATCTGCAAATAAACAATTCATTGAAAATAGGAATTAAAAGAAGGTAAAAATGAGAAGAAATCAAATATATCATATAGAACAAATAGGGCAGACCTTTTACATTCCCTCATCTTGCCAGTAAGCTCTTCCAGCTGTTTGCTTTGCCTATTAGAATCCTTCATCTTATCCAGCCTTTGAAACCCATTTCTGAAAAGCAGTCATCATAGTTTATAAATAGAGTTTTCAGATTTTAGAAGCTCAAAGGAAAACTCAAAACAACAAAGTCGAAATCTAGTCCAAAGAAGAATACTAAAGTCAAAACACTCGGTATGTTGAAACAAGAGCCGTGATTGCAGATTACAATACGTGGCTAATTCATTCGAGTAGTAAACAAGTCAAGGGAAAGTAGAAGAGGACATACGACAGAGCACGGAAAAGATCGCGGATTTCGCCATGGATCTGCTCCAATTGAGGACTCATCTGCAACTCCGTGGTGGCCATGAAGTCAGCCAGATCTTCAATTTCGAGTTCACAAAACTATTTATGTTCTCCTCATTCAAATCCCTACGGAACAAACTTCCAACAACAAAGAAACCCTAACCACTACCCTCGGGCAGGGGTTTTCTTTCCCTTTTTATTATTAAAAACAGCTAAAAATAGAAAGGAAAGAGAAGTTTCGAAAGAGGATGAAACTTGAAATTTATGGGTTTTCGATCAAAAAGGGTTTTTTGAAGGATTACTGAGAGAGAGAGAGAGAGAGAAGCAGCAAAGCAACAAAGCCTGGTATGGAATGAAAGCGTAACAGAAGGGATAAAAAACAGAATCGCTGTCTCCCGCTGTCTCTTTTATTATATATATTAGGTTTAATCATATTTTAGAGCCTCAAATTTTTTTTTGTGGAAAAATAAATATGACTTTTGATTTTTTTTAGGCTTAATATAAAAATAATTCTCAAATTTTGTCTTGAAAAAAATATTTTAGTATCTAAAAAAAATTTCGTAAAAAATAGGTGGTCACTTTTTTCTATTACTATTTTAAGTGTTCGATTGTTAACTATTATTAAAAAAATATTAAGTGACATGTGTTACATTCTAGTAATTTTGAGAATTTTTATTTAAAATATAAATATAAATAAAAAACCTTAATTTTTTTTCAAATCTTAAAAAAAACTAAAACTTTAAAAATATTAATTTTAATCTCTTTGCCACCGCAGCCACCACCAATGTCTTCAATCAGCCGAACACCCAACGACATGTGATCGACCAACCATCCACGATCAAAACCCTTATACTTCGTAATTGATCGAATACTAAATCTCCTTAAATATATAATTTCTTAAACATAAATCCTTAAATCTAATACCCAAATTCCTAACTATAATCCCAAAATTATTATTAAATTCAATTGAAATTTATTATTAAATATAATTAATTGAATCATGGGGATGATGGGTATAGCACAGACCAATGCGAAAGGGAACGCAGTGAGGAGTGGGGTTGGAATTGTGCAGGGGAGGTTTTTTTTAAATAAAAAATATTTTTAAAGAAGTAAAATTATTAAAATTATCAAAATATGACGCATGTCATTTAATAAGATTTTTCTAACAATGGTTAACACCTAAACACCTAAAATGGTAACGGATAAAACATTAGACATATATTTTTAATTAAAAATTATTTAGGCACTGAAACTGTAACCCCCTCAGACCGATGCGGATGATTCGATCCGATCCGATCCGGGTGTCACATTAAGGCCACCGGAGCGACCCACCGTAAAAATATCAGAAAAATTTGAAAATTTTATTAACACATGTAAAATCATAAAATCAATTTATAAATACAAAAGTAAAATTTATCAATATTCAGAAATAAAACAAGTTTTAGACTCATATGCAAAACAAATTACAATCTACATGCCCCTAATCACATGCATCATATTCCGCAAACAACGCCGATGGAACTCCTCTACTGAAGTCGATAGCCGCACATGTACGATTCTTTTAACCTGAAATGATGAGTAACATAGTGAGCTTTGGGAAGCTAAGTAATACAATACTACCAGTTGATGCTATAGGACAAGCAGATAAATGAAAAGCCATAAAATTTCCTTATTTAAACAGACATATACCGATTTTCAGGATAAGCTGGGATTCCACTGGTAGTTAATCGAGTAAAAGCCATGAGATCGCAGTTCATAGGAAACATTCATAGTATCAAGTTTTCATGAGATTGAATAAGATGTCTAGTGTGTTCCAATCAAAACTAGTAAAAATATATAAATCTTTTAAAACCATAGTGGAACCCTCTAACCAAACTCCATTATACAGTTCCCCAAAACTGCATCTATAAGGACTTACCCTAAGCACACAGCAAAGGGAGCCAACCTAAGGGTATGCCTTAGGGCTTATGGGCCTACCCAAAGGTATCTTTAGTTCCGTAAGGATTTACCAGCTGGATCAAGGTTGTACCTCCATACTCCAGAATCCTATCTATATAAAAATCCAGTAGAAACCATCTTTAGTCGTAAATCATAATATATGGATCGTGATCTAGTAATGTGTCATAACCGTGATAATGAAATAAATTATATATATGTAACATCCTCCATGTCGGGTGAGTGATTGATTTGCAACGTTTCAACATTTGGGGATTAAAGTAGAATGATTATATAGTTTAAAAATAAAGATTAGTAAATATGAAATGAAGGTAGGGACCAAATGGTCATTTGGAAGGAAATTTTAATTAAAATAAGATGTTATGGGGTATATGAGAACCACGTGTGATTTTTAGGTTCCAGAACCTCCCATTTCTTCTTCATTCTTCCTTACTTTCTTCTCTTCCTCCTCCAACCGTGGGCTTGCAATTATAGGTAAGAAACTGAACTTGGTAGTTTCTTGGATTGTTAAGATTGGAAATGAAAGTTGGTATGTTATATAAGATAAAGGAAACCTTATATGACATTAAAACAACAAGATAAGTGATTTAGAGAATGATTTGGAAAATGAGTTTTTAGATGAAATCTTGATAGGAATGAGTTTTTGATGTTTGAATCAGATTTTTGACTTGTCAATAAGCTAATTAAGAAGTATGAAGTAATAGAATTGAAATTAGAACAAGTTGAAATTGGAGTAAGATTCTTCAATTCTATATGGATGAGGAGTTTTCTTAGTTTTAGAGGTATTGAATGGTTAATAATTAGTTTAAGTAAGTGTATGAGAGCTAAGAGTGTTAAAGGGATTGAAATAAGTATGTTTGAGCTGAAATTAGATGATTTCCGGGCTCAAAATAGGATTTCTGGGTTAGGGGAATCGGTACCCATTCAAGGGGAACCGATACCCCTTCAACGAAATGAATTTCCAGAATGCAAGAGGGGAATCGATACCCCCAGGGGGGAACCGATACCCCCTCATCGTATAAGAAATTCCAGAATGCTATAGGGGAACCGATACCCCAGGGGGGGGAACCGATTCCCCCATGAGAAAAAGAAGAAGAAAGAAAATAAAGCAAGACTAAGCTATAGATTCTTTAAATTAGTAAGCTATTAAAGCTTAATTTCAAGACATAGACGTCTGATAATCATCTTAAAATTATGTTTATGTAGATACCGAGCCTACTCGAGTTCGGGAACAATCTACAAGTAGGATCGATCGAGGAAAAGGCAAAGAAGTATAGGTGAGTGCATATGCATAGCATGAATATAGTAGTATATTCAGTTCTAGACTTGTGATAAGTCTAGATTCCATATTTTGACATATGATTACATTCCATATTATGATACATGACATGAATTTGTATTAAATGTATTACATGACATAAATTCATATTATATGTATTACATGACATGATTATGCAGAAAAGTTATATGCACTATGTGATAAAGGTATGTAAATGATATGCCTATGTGTTAAAGGTATGGAAATACTATGTCTACGCGATATGAACTACGGGAAATGTATAAGCCCATGTTATGTAGATGAGAACTATAGGTATAGTTGGCATGCCAAGGGTAGAGGGTATACTCGGTTCTTTAGGACACATATATATCCTTTGGAACCTGTGTGAAGTCTTGAAAGACACATACTTGATCCATAGTATATGTATATGATTCTTAAGGAATTCTACGTGGTCCTTATGGACAAAATTCTACGGGCACTTCGGTGCAATTCTACGGGCACTTCGGTGCAATTCTACGGGGCACTTCGGTGCATTTATACGAGCTGTGGTGACAGCATAGTGCACAACCTCACATTACTCAAATACCTTAGGTTCTCAATATGCTATCATGGGCCAATAAACTTATTAATACATAATAATGAATGTTACAGTCATACGCTTACAGGTATGGATATTGATGAAGTATACTATATTGATTAAGTACATGTTTGCATCTCATCTCATATGATCCTGACATTTTCATTACATTACATTGCCTTATTATTATTGCCTCACTAAGTCGATGACTTAGCGTGTGAGTGTTTCACACGTAGGATCCGGGAAATTAGAAGAGACAGGTGAAGCAGCATGACAGTATTACTCCTGCAACCATCAGATCAGAAGCAACTTAATCAGTAGGTCATTTTGTGATGTAAATAGCAGTTGGCATGTAATTAAAGGGTTAAGTTGTGTATGCTCTGAATATTTTGATAAACTTATATTACAGTATGTATATTATTGTATTTTCTTAATACAAGTTCAAATATTTTACTATTATTTATTAAGAGTTGTGTTTTAAAGTCAATGTAGTATCTCTGACTCATATCCGGGTCGGGTATGGGTTGGGGGTGTTACATTTAATGGTATCAGAGCCATGGTTTAGCCGATTCTAGGCATAAACCAGAGTCTATGGAGTCTTTAAAGGGAATACATGCCAACAAATAGTGAGAACTTCTGATCTGGTATAGTATGAGTATGCTGTTTTGCTAATAGGATAATGTGTTTATTCTTATTAGATGTCCGGACATAATAGCTCCCGAAGTGAAGCGGGAGAAGATAGGCATGCTGAAAGCAGTAATTCACCTGCCCTGGCCAGGCAAGGTGAAGAACAGGCATCTCAAGGAGTGCCTGTGCAAGATCAAGATACGTTCTTCAGAACGTTAGACGCTATTCTGACGCGTCTTCAACCTCCTGCTCCACTAACTCCAAGAATTAATGTAGCAAAAGAGTTGAGAAGTTTAGGAGCTCCCGAATTTAAGGGAGAAGCTGAGGAAGGTCCGGTGTCAGCGGATCTTTGGTTGAATGATTTGAAAATCATGTTAGATGGTCTCCACTGTTCCGAAGTGGAGAAATTAGATGGAGCTGTGTCTTTATTAAGGGGTCAGGCGAGGATATGGTGGACGAATGTCACCATGAGGATGTCAACCGACCGGTTGACTTGGTCTTTGTTTTTAGAAGAATTTAAAAACAAGTATATTGGAGATCAGTTTATCCGACAAATGAAGCAGGAATTTATGAATTTGAAGCAGATGAGCCGCTCTGTGTATGAGTACGAATGTGAGTTTAATA